ACCCCACCGCTGATCATTCTAGTCACCCTTTTATTCTGATCAGGTGAAATTTATGTTTGATCGTTGGAAAAATTGGACAATCTTATGCAATCTATATTGCAATTTAAAGGTTTGTTTACATTTCTTTGCAGGAGATGAAGCGATTATATCGATGTCCGTGGCTGGAGAGGTGACCGATACCTCCATTATGGAAGTGGGCCGTACCAGGCCTCAATTCCAATACTCTCGGGTACGTACTTATGATGTCTCATGATTTATACTTGAAGTTTCGCCGAAACAGAAAGATCTGAATTTTGTGATCTAGGAGTGTCGTGTATATCTGTAATGTATCAATGATCTTTACAGGAGGAACTGATGGATATAAAAAGCCAACCGTTATCCAAACGTAGACCCGAGTGTTTGGACGTTGCTTATAACAAGTAAGAATAGAGTGTTTCGAACGTTATTTTTATAAGAAAAGGACTCGTCCTTTCTTCAATCTCTGTTGTGGATTTTATAATTGTCATGTTTACTCTGCTTCTGCAGTTCGCGCGGTGTTTGGGATCCCGAACGTTGGCACCTGGACAGGAAGCGCAGTGAGACGCCACCGGATGATGAGCGATCCGGGCGCGGCGATCAAATTATTGAGAATCACAACAAACGTCGCAGTGGCGATCCTCGTGAGCGCATCCGCAAGGAGCAAGATGGGATCGTATTGAGCCCTCAACGGCGAAGCTTCAATTCCGGATGCTTTGTAAACGTAACTCAACCGCCGAGTCGACGTCCTGAAAGTCCAATTGGTAAAACGGAGGTATGTCAACGGTCACAAGCACACATAAGCGGAAAAGCTTATTAAATTTAGTTATACTTTGAAATTTTCCTCAATTGTATATAGGTCAGTCATCGTGAACCTGTTCGTCGAATTGGCAGCGGTCGTATTCTGACACGTGACATGTGGGACTTCCGGGGCGACAACGAGAAACTTGAACCGGAACGTCCTGAATTTGGATTCAGGTCGGGTGCTGGGGGCGGAGGACCATTGCGCGATCGGGATACGCGTGAGAGTCGTGAAGTTGGCAGAGAACGGGAGCCGATGCGGGACAGGGATCGTGATCGTGACCGTGATCGCGATCGGGATCGTGACGGCATGCGTGACCGAGATGACAGGAGCGAGCGATACGAGCGGAGATCCTTTGGACGAGATTTCGGAGATCGTGATCGGGATCGAGGATTGGAGAGAAATGAACGGAATCACCAGGTGGATCGTGACAAGGACCGCGGACGGGACCGGCGATACAGCAACGATCGAAGGCGAACTTACAGCGATAACCGGGAAGCCGATGAGCCCGAATGGTTTAGCTCGGGACCTACGTCCCAGCATGATACCATTGAGCTGCGTGGCTTCGAGGATATTCCCGAAGAGAAAATGATAAGTAACAACTACAGTGCCAAAGGGAAGAAGCAGTCGCCCGTGCAGAAGAAACGTGGTAAAAAGTCGTCCTCGGAGAAGGATGATAAGTCTAACGAAAATTCGGCTGGACCGAAGGGCCGCAGTACTCCGACGACTATGGACCAGCCTATGAACATCGTTCAAGCTCCCCACTCGCCAATTTCAGAAAGAAGTGAACCTCAAACACGTTCGCCTAAAGAAAAGTCTGATATTGATCATAGTGTTAATACTGAACCGAGCAGCGATCTTGATAATGTGAGTAGTGGACAGAATCAAGAAGACAGTCACTCTGATTTCAATTTGGACGAGTTCCTCAAGTCAGACACTTTTCCCGGAGTTTCTGGACTTTTAACCGTACGTAGACAAATTTGGTACTTGCACATCTACAGGAAATATGCACGTTTAACTATGGTCGTTATTTTCTTTAATAGAATGGAGTTGGTTCGAATGGAGGCTCTGGTTCTCGGTTTAGCCAGTGGTTCAAGCGTGACAGTCCCGTCCAACAAATGGACAGCCGCAGAGCTTCTATACAGGACGAACTATTGAATAATCTGCTTAATGATATCACAGAGCCTAATATTCAAATTCCATCGGTTGCGGAGTCCAATACCTACTTCGCCCCGATTTCGCCAGCTAACACTACGAATAACTCAACTACCCCTACTACTGGTGTAAAGCTACTCGAGATGCTGCAGCGTGGTAACAAACCAAACCAGAACGGACAGGGCGACGCAGCAAATACGGTCGTTCCATTGATGAAAAACTCTTCAATCAAAGACATGGGTATGAATGATCCTGAAAAATTTTAACCTAGTTAATTGAAAATAAACACTTACTGTTGGTCCATGATAAAATCATTATGAGTGGAGGTATAATTTTGGTTGCAGAAGTTGGTGGAAAAGTTGTCCACAGTCTGGAAGAGCTAGAGGCACGTATGCGAGGCGGAGTTCCGCCGGCACCTTCTACTGAACCCCCAAGAGTGAATAAGACTGAGGAAGATCTGGCTGCTTTTAAGAAATTGGTAAATCTTTGTTCGAATTCTTGTTAGTTCGTCCATTATATCTGTTGATCTCGGTAACCATATTTACTCTTGGATTCAAAGTCTCATTAAGCTTATGAATCTCATTGTAGCTCGCTCAAGTAACTGGCGGTCAAGCAGTTCCTGCAGCTAATGGTCCTATTTCCCAAAAGCCGCAGCCCATCACATTAATGCAGGTATATTGTGGAAACATGTGACAACTATTGTACTTGTAGAATCGTCAAGTGCATTGTAGCTTTTTAAAAGTCTTGATGATAGTGATTATAGCTGGCGGAGGAGAATTGGTATCATTAAACTAATAAAATCCTTGTGGTGTATTGTTCTTCACAGCTGCTTAACAACCAGCTGAAGACACAGCAGCAGGTAGTACAACAGCAACAGCATATCGCCGAGCCGATACATCCTTCAACGTTTAATCATGCTGGTCCACTCGGACCTGCCCAACATCCTCATCAAGCGCAGATGCAACACGAAAATTTAATGAAGGTGTTACAGATTCAGCAGGTTCGTTGTTGGAGTTTCGCTCATAATATTGAAATTCATGATCACGATGCATTGATGTTAGATTCATATATGCTTCTTTGTTATTATATTTTTATAGCAACAGCAGAAACAACGTCATCAACAACAATCGGACATGCTCTCTATGATGATGGGTGGTCAGCGTATGCTTGTTGTTAGTCCAGTCCCGCCGGATATGCAAATGATGGTCAATAACGCTCCATCGAGTCGGGAACTGCTTCAGAGACCGGAAGCTCAGGCCATTATTCAAGGTCTTCAGCAGGGAGAGATCACTAAGCAGCATTTACTTCAGCAGTTGCAGGTTTGCAACTAAATTAATGTATTTCAGTATGAAATCAAACGGCTTGTTGGACAAAAATCATAGTGACACATGTTTAATCGTATATAGAATCCTGCGAATCAGCATCGCCATCGGGAAGTTCTCGCTAATATCTTGAAACTGTATGGAGGAACTACGCCTCGCACTGTCAGCCCACATCCTGCAGCACCAACTCCTCAGGATCACATTCTCCAACAGATGCTGTATCAGCAACAGCAACAACAGCAGCAGCAGCAGCAACGAATACCGTCACCCATGAACAATGGTGAGTCGGGCATTGGTGCTTTTTTAGTATTTTGCAAAATATTAGTTCTCTTTTTGAATTTGTATATTGACTATAGTCTCAACGTCATCGTTAACTGTGAATGAAGAATTACCAGTAGTGGACGAGAACAATTTTGAAATGATAGGTATTAACTAATGTCTTTTGACACGTACATAGTTTTACTTTACATTGGCTATAAGATTATAGTTAATGCTTCAATTTTCTCTCTCTCTCTCTCTCTCTCTCTCTCTCTCTCTCTCTCTCTTTCTGTCTCTGTTATTCGTTCAACTCAATAACTTGCTCAGTCATACATTTGGTATAAACCTGCGACGTTAATATCTCGGCACACTCAAATTATGAATCACCCCATTCATCATTTCAAATGAGAAATACGAATATTTTGGTTATTTGGAATGCAGCATTCTGTTCAGCACCAATAATATCGCCAAATTTGGCGACTAGTCCCAACGCTCTGACAGTTCAACATCCAGGTAATATTTTCGATTTTAAAGAATAGTACGGAAAATCTTTTTATCTTGTCTATACGATTTATTAAGTAAGACAGTATTGAGACACTCAACTATCGTGCAGGAAGATCAGCATGATTAATAAAAGATTAGTTTACTCATAAGAAAATATATCAAACTCCCATCGGTATTGATTGTTAAACATTTTTATGCGGAATTTTTTCATACTTTTGAAAAGGAGAAAATTGCCTAATCCTTCGCATATATTTTATACTGTATGTATTTTTTCCCGTAGCTGGTGTTTACGAAATGATTACGGATTATACTGGATGAAAGGAAATCTTGAAAAATCTCTTTATAAAAAATCACAAAATCGTCGAAGTTGGTAAAGATCGGAGTATAATCCCCATTATGTTTCTATAATGTGCTGCTCTCACAAACGATCTCGTTACACCTGAAGTTGATTGATAGAACAAACTTGGATGAGGTAACACAGTTAACAGAGAACATTTTATGCTTTAAACAGTGCTACCCCACCGAGTGCCCTCGCCGCGCGAACTTGTCATGCACACACAGTCCATAATGCAGAACGCTCTGATAAAGAAAAAGCTGGAAGAGCAACGTGAAAACTACCGGAAGCGGCAGGAGCAACAACATCAACAACAGCAGCAACAGCAAACGCAGCACAGAGGAGTGCCGTCAGCGAGTCCTGTCAATTCTCCAGCCAAGCAGACCCTAAGTCCAACGCCACTGGCCTTCACGCCGACCTCGGTGTTACGCAAAATGACCGCCGAGAAGGAACCCGAGGGTGCGAATTCATTATCCGCTCGTCAAGTAGAACCAATTCCTTTACCCGCTTACGATATGCATACTAATCCTCACGCTCGTTATCCATTCGGCTTCGCGAGGCAACGTCGTGTAACGTCACCAGCAGATAGCGCTGATAGGATCCAGGATGATAAGATCACCGACAAATTCGGAAATTTCCGTGTCTTATCTAGTGCAGGCCGTCCTCTCGATGCAAACAACAACAATAGTCCGAAAACGAAGGAATTCGCTTTAAAACTTAAACACTTTAGCGGCTCCGAAAAAAATAACGACAGTCACGACAATGGGACGGTCGTGAATGAAACTTTTAAAGGGAAGTGGCGTTCAGAGGATATAAGCAAGACCCTCGACTGCATCCCGGAGAATGACTCAAATATTAAAGATTTCGTTATTTCTGAGAATGACAATCGAAACCTTGTAATCGCTGACGTATTATCTTCTATAACGAACGGGGATTGCAATAAGAATACCGTGGTCGTGGACAGCATTGTCAAGGAATTTGAAATTGCAGAAGAGTCTTTGAGAACGTAAAGTAATTTTGCGTTGCGAGGCGAATTGTCCATGTGAAGTGACACGAAATATAATCTCTGGAAGGACTCTTGGGGGGGGAGGGGGGGGTTGGACCGTGATCTTTAGGAAAAGCACTGTTTTATTTATCATTTTCTTTGCTACTTTTCTTTTCTGAATTATCAACGAAGAGCGATAGACAAGCACTTTCTTTTCTTTCCTTTTTCCTTGATTTTTTTTTTTTTCTTGCTTTTTATCCATGGCCACACGCACGTGCTCCATATCCCGTTTGTCTTTCCGCTTCTTTTCATTGCTTTGATCCTCTCGATGTGCTTATTTAATGCATTCTGACACTTCAGGAACATGCGATTCTCTTGATGCACTTGTCTTGACCCTTTTGCCGTCGTTTTGCTCGCTCATTCGATTCTTCAAACTTTTTTAGCTAAGGTTTTGTCAAACACGGGTTCACTAGTTACCAGCATTGACAGTATGTCATAATCGTGCGATGGACTCATCTACCGTACTGAGTTTGTTAGAATAGCCTTTACAATAAAATTCTTTATCAGTACCTTCTACACTTTAAGTTTTTTCTTCATTTACTCATTTTCCTCGCTATACATTCTGCTTCGGCAACTTTTGCTTTTTTCATGCATGCTTTCCTACATCGCTTAATGCTTTACATCTTGAGCTCTATCATGCATGACTCTTGGCATGCGCTTAAACTGTATAAGACTAAAATATGCTTGATGACTTTTTTTTTTTTAGAAACTTGGTATATAGCGCCTTAGAGGGAACTTTACCTATAGTGCCTATAATAATCCCTATTAAACAATAACAGGACAGTGTGATTCTCCAGTATAACCGAACAACGTTTTATGTCAATTTCATCAGATGATCTTTATTTAGGATTTTTTAAAACTAAAGTTTTGCTATTCTTTCTAAAATATAAATCCAATCCTTTGAATTTTTTAAAGCACTGCAACGTTAATCGTTGGTTGATTTAATTTTGCAAAGAGTCATAAGAATCAATAATAGAACATTTATGCAAAGGGAAATATCGCTAGTCTCATAGATCATATCTGTGAGATAGCGACTTATAAGTGACTGTAACGTGTGGCTATAGGCAGTGGCGATCCGTCGAAAATGGCTGTTCAGAACCAAGCGTCATCGCATATGCAACAAATGCAGTCGGCAGTTCAGATGATCGCTCAGGGTGTACTTTCACGACACACGACCGCACTGCGACCGCAGCCACTCCAACCGTCATCCTGGTCCAGTCCCAATGTCAAGCAACATCCTGGTATGTTCGTTATTTTCACCGTCACTGTGATAACAGCATAACAAACGCTACCACCATCAATTTCGCGATCAACGCTTTGTTCCAAATCTAATACTAATATTCCTGAAATCAACAGAAAAACAAAACACTACCGACACTCCGATAAAGAAATGAAAATATTCCGTCTTTCTATTTGTTAAGAGCGAAAATAAAATAAAAAGGAAGTCAAATTGCAGTTGCATCTTTGCTCTTTTCTATTACAGGTCGGCCAATAGTCAAAGGCGGTGGTGGGAGTGCAGGTGCAACTGGCAACGGTGCTAATCAGTTCCAATACAGCGGTAACATAGAATTCCAGCAACAGCATCAGCAGCAACGAGCAGTAACTGCAGCAGGAGTCTACGGCAATCCGGCACGCTCAAAGCACACGATGGCTGCTTCTATGCCGCACCCCAATGTTCCTCAATACAATGTTGCTTCGAATTCGGTCATGAGTCACAGACCAAATCCAATGAGCAGTCAGATGAAACCCCAGCAGGTGCAATCTCATCTTTCCAGCATACAACAGCAGCAGCAGCAACAACAACATCGCACGGTCAATCCGCAGTTGCAGCAACTTGTCATGAACCAAAACTACAATTCCTCGAGAACCGGTAAGAACGATCTTATAAAATGTATACATATACGTGTGAGTAAATAGAACAGCAATTTTTGACTAATCTTCATTCGCACAGAGGATGTGTACCTCGAGATATAAAAAAATTCAGTAGCGCACGTTATTGCTTTTTCCTTTTTAATGGAAAAAATAAACGTTCACCTATTGGGTTGAGGTTCGTACTTTTTTTGTCCCAATTTACAGGCAGTCCCACACTTCCCAAATACATAACATGCAACGGTATCCAGAGATCGGAATAAGGAGCCTGAAAGTATATCAGTATCTATCAAAAACGTGTCCAGTCCCTTCAGCATTTCGGAACGGAATTATCCAAAGTAACTCCTCATTGTCCATTTGTTCCTTATACTAAATACCAATCCCATAATAGGAATGTCCTAATTGAAATATTACTATAAATCTTTGTTCAATTTTCATCGATACTGATTAAATTGTCACGTAAAGATAAATAGGATATATATAATAACATAATCATGATATATATCTATTTGTCATCACAGATGGACGAGCGATGCGAGCGCAGGCCATGAAAATGCCCGTCGGACGTCAGAGTTCACCAGGGTTAGGCTTTATGGGTAGCAACGGTGGCGACCTCTCACCCACGTCGAATCAGCTGGCACGATGGTTTAGTCCGGAACTCTTAGCACAGGCACGCGCTGGGAAGCTTCCTGAACTGGCTCAGACGAATGTTCTCTCCTTGGAAGAGTTGGAGAGACTTCAGCATGCCTCGACGGCCGTTCGCAATTAGATTAATCTATCCAGTGATCCACCGAGCGTTTGAAAGATGTGAGAGAAATTCCATCGAGTTCCTCTATTCTTCTCACTTTTGAAAGTGTACCCTTCTTCTACACGTATTGTACCGACACGACTGGCAAGCACGACCTTTGCACCCTGGACGACAAGGCACAGTAAATAAGAGAGTAAGAGCTCAAGGAAATCGAAGGATGCGACTGCAACAGACGATAAAGTTTTGCGTATTTTGTTGAACTATTCTGGAAGAGAGAAAGAGGTAGTGAGCGAGTAGAAGAAATGACGTATTTTGTTGAGAGAAACCAAAATACTCAATTACTTTCCAAGGAGGCGTCCACAAGCTTATGGAGACCTTAGAAAAATTCCATGAAAACAGTCCGCCTATCAAATTCCCGATGTAATAACTTCCTTCGCAGTGAACTGACGATGCATTTCATGGATACGCGAACAAGGAACTTGAAGGCGTTACGATAATCGCTTTTATGATAATAAGGAATTACAAGATGTACATCAGGACTTCGTGTGTGCATAAGAGCATCCGGTTTCGCAAGGAAAGCACATCCTATCAAAATTGGGGTCCTGGGACCTGTCCGATACTATTGAAGCTCGTCGTTTGTCTCATAGACATGAATTCAGAAAAATAAACCAAGTATTGGAGTGCTCTTTTCGTGCGACATGGATCTCAAGAATGGCTGGAGTCTGTTATGATGAATATTTCATCTCAAGCCCTAATACACATCGTACCCTTGAATCATCGGATATCCAGTGAAAGAAAAAAAAATATCTGCTATGAATAATTTATCTCTAATTGCATCGATTATAATATGATGCGCAGGTTTTTTTTTCTTTTCTTTTAAATAATGGTTGTCTGATTCTCAATGCTTGGAAAACTTTATTTGAGTGAACGAAACACGTGCTGCCGGCTCCCAACCGACACGAGTCGCGTGCCACGTTCATCCAAAACTTTATACTCGGCCATAATCGTGAATGCGGTGTTATGGATGAAACTTTATGGAAATGTGCCGACACCCGACACACTACTTGCTTCACTCGACAGACTCAACGCCATTATTATCAATGACCTGAGGCGGAACATACGAGTTAAATTTTTCGAAAAAAAAAAAAAAACGCACTCTGGGTTAACACATATATATTATAAAAATTTATATATAATATATACTCTGTAGAAGTACGAAAATACAGTGTCATGATCGCAGTTTAAAAGTCGTTGCAGAGTGATGTACTACCGAGACAACGTGAAGATGGTCGCAGGCGCTATTAAGCGAGATACTTCATAATCTTAATAGAGGAGAGTACAGCAAATCGAAAGGAAAGAGGAAAGACGAAAGTGTTCCGAAGAGGCTCCAAGGAAAAATTGCAAAAGAGAGATAGAATCAGAGAGACATGCAGGGGGAAGGAAAAGAAAGCAAAGGGATAAAAAATGAAAGAGAACATTCCATCAATCGAACGAAAGATCTCTAAGCTCGACGAGTCAATTGCGTAGCGTTGCCGACGTGCGTTTAGTTTTTTATTAAATTATTGTTTTTCAATTGCATTTTTCTCCCACATACACGATAACGATGATTACTCTTAAAGTGTAGTAACCGACAATAATGACTTAGTGTTTTATATTTTCTTTTCTTGTTTTCTCGTCCGTCTTTTACTAAACCTTTTTCTCGTCCGTTAAAGAGTTCACCGTTTGCGTATACTAGCGTCTCGCGTCGTATATATTTATGTATTTATCGTTATAGACTTTTGATCCTCAAGTCGTAAATCCTACTACGTGTACGCGGTCAACGTCAAACAATGTGTGGATACTGGTACCATCTTTATTTATTTTTTTAAATACCATCCTGTTCAATATCATAGTCTCGAGACTAGCTCTCTACGTTCACTATCATGCTGACACACATATATACGATAAAAAAGGAATTATTGCATTATGTTGGTTTAAATAATATCGAAAACCGAGTCATCGGATGTATTGAATCGCTTGTTACTTTTTTGTACTATTTACTTAAAAACGATTCCTACGCCCAATTGTCAATCTGGAAAGCAGTGTAATTAGATTTCATCACATTAGAATGTACATGCGTAGATCTGGCGGTTTCTCTTCTGAATGTACAATGTACATTATATTCTTGATAATCCGTTTGTGCAACAATTTCGAACACGTGTCGATCCAACGCTTCAGTGTTTTGAGTGTGACGAGCCACCGTGTATTCGTGCTGTGAAATACGCTTGATCAATTCTATTATAGCTGCTACGTGTTCCCTCGCAAATATAAGTGATACTCTCGAAGTCAATACCGAACACGGTCAAGACGTCGTTTCCTTGCCTCGAGTATAACTGCTTCCTACATCGCAATGTTTTGAGGGACCTCGTCGCGTCCTTGGACACGCGCTGTCGTAACTTACAAAAGCAACACCCACGCAGACACACGGAGCATTGATATAAATTTTGGGACTAGCTGGAAAAGAAAGTTGAAAAGCGAGAAAATAGGAAGAAAGAAGTGAAATGGCTAAGAGTCAGGACAATGGATTCTATTGATAAGCTCTTGTCATCGATCGTAATCACAAAGGCTGAGAGGTTGAGAGAATTGTCGTAAGATCATAGAAACAGAAAGAAAATGATTTGAGAGATGAGAAAAATACCGTGACAAGAGAGGCCTCTGCAATGTGACCTAGGCGGATGAAAGAAATTGCTAAAAAGGGAGGGAGAGAACAAAAGACAAATTATGAAGGAATTATCAGCAATGTCAGGTCTGACAACGATTTGTTAAGGATCCTATTAATGAGATATGTGACGCGGCAGCCCGTTGCTGATTCCTGCGTGAAATTTCGGACGATGCTACGTTGAAATCAAAGTTCTGCTGTTGTGTCGTGGTCAATATTGATGCGTAATCGTCGGATGTGACAACAATCGTCGACACTTTTCTCAGAGGATGAAATATAGAAGATAGAGATTGTGCGTCACTCGCCGTCATTCTTTGTACGGAAATTGGTGAACTTTTTCTTTTGCTCCGTCTCATTGATGTATGTGACGCGATAGAAACTATGACGAAAGATATCCATTGTCATGTGCAGCAACAGAAGAACTATCTTGGCACCACGAGGAACAATGCAGCCAAAAACCAGAGGCAATAGGCGCCTATAGTCACCATTTTAATCATTAGCCGTCGTACACTTTTACCACCTAGGGTGATATAAGGCATAGAGTATAGTGGTTTAATCGTCTTGAAGTTTAATGGTATTCGTTGCCAATTGCTTTGGCTAACAATAAGTTAAATGGCGCGTTCTTCTTCGCCACGCAAGGCATCATTAAAACGGGCAATTTTCATGGATCAACAAAAATCCACAAGAGTCCTTGTAGTCGCGATTGCCCTGCTCAAATCAAATCACCCTGTGTAATGAACTTTGGGAGAAATTAGGATCAAACGATAGGAGAGAGAATGAGTGTGACGAAGAGAGAGAGAGAGGTTCATGTTAAAAGTTGTGAAGGAGGCATCGTCATGGGCTGTACACGTGGTACGTTAGAAATAATTGTATAAGATTAAGTGATGCCAACTCAACGGAGATGTTGTCGAACTGCGCGATCAGAGTGTCAAAGATCATTTAAGCGCGAGCGGAAGGTGTGCGAAAATTAAAAGGATGCCGATGTTAATGAAGAGGCGTCAAGGAAAAGAATGAGATGAGAGTAAATGAAAATCGATGATCCGATTGTAAACAACAACAAGAAGAAGAAGAATAAGAAGAAAAAAGAATAGAAACGTAATCGCGCTGTTGTCGACTGAAGAAACGCAATGAGGACGAATCACCCGCAATGCGTATTAAGGGTAATTTTATTGCGTCGAGCACTCTCTCGTTTCTTTCTTCTTTTTTTTTTCTTTTATTCAATGAAATCGTCAAAATCACAAAAGTGGCAAGCAGACCACACGAAATCTCCCTATAGTTCCTTTAATTTTTCTGCTGGCGAGACGTGTGTGCATGTGTTTGTCCACACAGGCGTTCCTCATTTATCTTCCTTTGTTTGTTGTGTTTCTTTTGAGGCGTAAAAGGAGGATATTCGTTTGTGTACTACTGTGCGATATGCCAAAGTGTCAGCATAATTCGTATCTTCGCCAAATACACGTGATTCGGATATTTGTCTCGTGCAAAGGAAATTTACGTACTTGTTACACTTATCTATCACTATCACAGTACGAATATTAAAGAAACTAGTAATCGCTGAATCTGTAAACCAGTGACCTGTTAAAGGTGCGTCTGCAGAGTTGATTTTGAGTTTTTTTCTCCTTCAAGCGACGTAACCTGCGAGCGAGTCTTGCATCCCTAGCGGTATGAAGGGGTATAAGCGTGTGATAGGCTCTAAGGGATGCAAATCCAATAGGTTGCGTTTACAATATAATCGTCTTCGGATATACAGGAAATAAATATTGATAGCTTGGAGCGACGACGCTCAATGATAAATGACGAAGATCATTTGAAATCAAATATTTTTCGTTTTTCTCGTATAAAGTTTTTTTTTTTCGTCTCATTTCCATTGACCTTTTCTCATTAATGAATGACGTGCCGGAATAATTATATTTGCGCTTAGGTATCACGTGTGTCCAGGTGAAAATGTGAAAAGGAGGAGAAATTGGACAAAGTCAGTTTGAGAAGAATCGCGTCTCGGGTGTTCGTGCACTATCAAGATATTTCGCCTCCGCCTCGTTTCGTACTCAACTGTCTCTCTTTTTTCTTTCACCCTTCCCCTCCCGCTCTTCAGATCTCCATCAAGATTTTTGTAAATAATTCGACTCTCGAAGGAAAGGCAAATTTACTAGTGCATGTACCAGACCGATGTTTTGTAAATAAAATTATTAAGCATAATATGTCAGAACGATAATCTTGTCACGAATAAATACGACGAAAATGAATTCACCTGTCATTGTGTTTGTTTGCGTGCACGTGCTCGTTACAAATATCACTTTGGTCATTTATTACCAATCCTCGTTCAGCATTTTGTCTTTAATTTTTAATGATATATATCATGTCTGACGACACAACTTTATGCATGACATGTATTGGTGTAAATGGAATGAATTTTCTTAATTTCAACAATTTCAAGTGTGAACGACTCGTTTAATAATGATAAGGATAACTCTACATTGAGGTATATTAAAAATAAGAATAAATATGGATAAGAATGAGCACCACTGGGCAACGTGTAATAATCTCACTCGGTTATTTCCGTCCAAACTCGTGAGGGAGCCGAAGTGAGCCGAAGTATCCCTATCGACGGCGACACCCACATTCGGTGCAAATGGCGGCTGCAGACGGGTCATGAGGCAGTTCGTCTCTACAATAATATATTCTATCGTTATTAAACACGTAATACGTTGACGACGTCGTGTCCACTTTACGATCTGAAAACTTGAGAGTTCGTAGTAATCCTAAAGTACGAACAAAGGAGTCAGGTATCCAAGAGTAGCCGATCGTGTTCTGTATCTACCCATTGGATTTCACGTCTCTAACTTTCAGTGAAGTTGCTTCAAAAACAACACATCGCTAGCAGACCACTAGGAAACCCCGTCATCTTTTATTTTTGCAAAACCACAATTGCTGCCAGTTCGGTTTTAACATCCATAGCAGCGAAGACCCGAAGATACGTAATTTGTTTTTTTTATTTGAAAAAAAAAATAAGGCTAATCCACTTGTATCACTCATAGGCATCAGATAAACCTGTCAATGTTGAACTATATTAAATAACTTTCTAACACAAATAAAAGCGTCTCTGAAATAAAAAGAAGTTGGTAAGTTCGGAGTTCTCCACACAAAGAGAGTAAGAGCCAGGCAGATGAAAGAGGATAGCGAAGGTGATGCAGATACTGACTGTTTCATTTGTGTCAAGAATTTCAAAAAATTTTACGTAATAGGAAACTCCAGGAGTCACCGGCAAGTCTGATAGTCAATTGAATCACTCGTTCCTGTTTCGACGAGCGATGGGAGCGTCACGTTAATTTTACTGGCAGCTAGGAGTAATGTCGTTAGAGCACGAGTAGTCTAGGGTTGCCGGATAAAGGGCGCGCTTTCCCAGCGTTGGGACGGCAAGTAATGTATCGTCGAGGCGTGCGATGCCGACTCGTTTTTCGAGCAGTGAACGCGTTTGTAACACCGGCTGCCACGACTGGCAGCCATTGTGTGTCGCGAGCCCTTCGTACCGACGCATCTTTCTGTTTCCGCTTCGTATTAGATGATCACGCAACGTGATTCACGACTACAACGACGACCAGACTAAGCGGCATTGACGGACAATGAAAATGCTTGTGTACCACGAACGGACAGCTGATACGTGATCATGAAAACACATCTTTTTCCGCGGTGCGTCCTTTGGCTTGGTTTTGTTCTCTCAATGTTTGATAGTTCTTTAGCCTACGTATTTCGATATACTACTTGTTTTAATAATCGCTCACGTCGTTTGATGTAAGGTGCCGACATTGATGTTCAGGTTGAACGACATGGTGAACTACAGAGACACGATAATAGGTAGTAGATAGCGAGAGAGTGAGAGGAACTTCTGTGCGTGCTTGTGTTACCTGGTGGACGTGGTGCTCAGCAGCTACGGAAAGATATACATGAAGATATTCGTCTGAAGCTGAAGAATTTCTGCGCATAACGACGATCAGCAAGGGTTCCTGCCGAAAAGCAGTGAGAAGTTGCCGACCGGGGCGGTTATCGAATTTGTACTCATACATGTATGATTATCTCATTGTGAGAATTGCTACGATAGACTGCGGAAAAGCTCGGAGTGGCGTGTAGTTCAAGTTTCTCATTTATCGCTAACAGCTCAGAATATTCGTGGCAGGCGTCGATTTCTTTACTGACTGACTTTTATGATATCGTTACTGGCGCTTCGTCAGTCCACCCTGAACTTCGGAAAATTGTGAATCCGTCGACTACATTTGAAAGAGTATTGCATGTCAGGTGTGACTTTGTCTACTTTTTCTCCATACAAACTGTAGTGTTACTCAAGCTGTGTTCTAGGACTTGTAGAGCGCGCTGTGAAACATCGCGTATCTATGTATATGTAGTTACGTGGCACGCAATAATTGTGATCGGTGGAAAAAACTAGAAGGGAGAGAGAGAGAAAGAAACTGTGAGGAACTGCTGCACCGTGAAGGTGGAATGCACGGATTCCGCACCAGGTTGAGGAAGTTTGGACAGAGGACGGCAAGGAACAGTGGATTTGTGGACTGCGATTCACTGGTGCGAACTAAAGATATATATCTCATTGTGAACCGCGCTGTGACATTGAAAAAGAGAGGCTTTTAGGTAAGGGGAGATTATTAATAATACGACATTGATTAAGGAGGATGACAGGGGGATCCACGGAAAATACTTTGAGGCACACGACGCTGTATTTTCTTTTAATTGAGGGACTTCTATGCTATTCTAAATAGTCGTAACCTAGGCAACCCCACCCTGTTTCTGGCGTGTTTTCATCAATCAATTCGTATAATGGATGCTCCTGAATGTTCTCAGTTCTGGTCGTTTCACGAATACGGAGTAGTTGCTTTGAGAGGGAAATTTAAATATGCACTGAATTTATTAAACGAATTGCGTTTAGATTGCATTGTCAACGTACGGTGTGCTTGTATTCGTTTGGGCACTGTGATTTCATAACGGCAGAGATTTAACCTCTCGAACCATCGAAAGCTTTTATGCAGTTTCAAAAATAATAATTTATTGGTAGCTGTACCCAGCTGTGTACGTTGCGAACTCACTACCAAAAGACCCATGTGCATTTTATAAGGATACTTCGCAGCTGACCGAAACTCTTTAAAGGTTGTGACGTAACCACGCGAAGACATGTAGTGAGTCGGAGCGAGCATGACAGCCAGTAGAAAGGATAAGAGGAACGGAGAAAAGTGTAAGTGCTAAGGACAATAGGACTAGAAAGAGAGTGAGAGCATTCTAGTCAGTTCACTGGTAGATTTCAAGCAATTTCATTTACGACACTGTTCACAGTATCCGCAAGAACAACGTTCTCACACTTTTTTCTCGAGGGAAAAATTAATAGATCACTGACTGAATGAAGTCGCAACGTCATAGAAATAAAAAGTGCAGGCAGTAGGCCATGTGGCAAATGGCGTTGGTCATTTATTTATTTCGAACCTTAAAAATCGGTAACGGTCCCATTGTTATTGATGTCATCTTCCTATTTGGTGCATAACCGACCATGTACATGTATATCCAAGTCAAGTGTGTGACGGCGCGGCGTCCATGTTGAGCGGCACCAAGTAGAGACGAGAGTACGAGACGCCGCACTCTGTCATCCCTTCGGAACTATTCGACTTTCATGTTCGGCCATCTCCGATTTCACGTTTATCACGTACCTCGTCTCGTGGTTCGTCGAGGTTCTCAAGTTCAGTGGATATGTGCATTTGTGGCCGATTGATTATCCGCGTAATCAAAAAATTGGTCTAAATATTAACATTCCGTCTACGTCATTTCACTCCTCATATGCGTTCGTCCTTAGCTTCGCACTCATGGTAAATATGATGGTTTCGTCCTTTGCTCTGACTGACGCGGTTAGAATACATTTTGTTATGTTATGTTTACCTGTGTTAGCCGTGTTCCTTTATCTGCTTAATAGATCAATTAATTCTAAGCATAAGAAAATATTGAGAATTATTCTTTTACGTATTTTGAATTTCATGTGTGCTTGATCCAGTTGTCCTGTAATCTTTAGCCCTGTGATAGAATCTTATTTTGTTAAATTCTATTTATACTCAGTTCAAAAATTAAATGCTAGGCTAAGAGGTCTTTCATATTGAAAATTATAGGAATTATAACATGATAGCCTATCCAAAACGTATTCCACTCGTAGACGAACTATATTTCTATCTTTTCTTATGTCTTCTGTTTTTCGTCTAAATACGAATGCTATATATGTACATACAGTGGTTACTGTTTTACTGATAGCGATATTGTGAGTTGGTGCCACTGGTAAGAGTTTCCTAGGGGATGGGATTCGTGTCGTAGGGAGTTTATGGCTAGAGAATCGACTGATTGGCAGGATTTACAAAGGCCACTCCACTTGCGCATTGAGCTTAATCATCTAGTGTTTTGAGAATGGAAATCGATTACTCGTGTCTTCATATTCCTTACCTGGAAAGTGACATTTATTTCTTTCTACCTCTCTGACACTCTTCTGAACAATATTCCTCTGGCGGTGCAATTCTTAGGAAACTGTCTTTTCTTATCATCATGATGTGACATTAACGCCCACATCTACTTCAGTCATTCGTTCTGAATATTTATTCGTGCACTTCAGGTCTGTTGAAAGGAAAAGTGTGGATTTGTGATTATTATCCGACACGTCTCGTGTCGCCTGATATTCCAATTTGATAGCTGCCTCACATCATAATATGCGTTGATACGTTCAAGTATCTTCATGTATGTAACTTTCTAACATTTCTGCACATTTTTCTATATAGTATAATCGTTCTTTGAGGCTCATTTTATACGAAAAATGAATGTCAAGAGTTTAGTCAAGAGAAAATTCAAGTCACGAAAATTTAGTCAAGAGTTCTGCGTACAAAATAAGACAAATTACAGTGTGTTCGTATACGGCATGGTTTTAAGTTGTGTTGAATCAGCACACTGGAGCTTGTAATTAATTTATCCGTGTAAGTTTGTACTTTTTGCTTTGTAACATTGAAAAGACTTGAAAAAAACCTCAAAGTAACGTATTGGTCTTTGTCTTTTCGAAAATTGTCCGTCATTGCTACTAATTATGAATGCAGTGTCATGAACCGATAGACTGGGATCGCATTTTATGTCTATTTTTTTTACATATTATCGTTCACTTTCTAGTAAGGAAAAAAGACTGATGCTTTCCAAGTGGTGACGCAGCTAAATTTCTTTAAGCTTTTGTGACTTAATTTGATTTAATAAATTAAGTAATATGGAACTTATGCAGCAATCATTTTTTGTCATTTGCCTTCGAGAAATGTTGTTATAACTATTGGTACTATGTCTTTTGTTTATTAAATGAGTAACATTCTTCATCAACGAAAATAATAGTGTCATGGCGTTACGAATATTTCCGGTTTTTTGTTCTTAGGTTAAGTGCTTACAATTCGGTGCCAAGGTAATCTGCACGTAGTAAATTCGTGATCAAATTCTTCATTCGTAATACTTTCAATAGTGGTTTAGTGGATTTGGACAGATGTAGTGCTGTATTCGCACATTTATAATGGTTATACTCTCAACAAAATAACTCCACGGCGATTGTGTTAGACTTTTTTTCGACGATATCATGAATAAGTACGTGTCCATAGAAAGAGTCAGAGAAACGTTTCCATAAAAGATTATTTGAAACTCTTCGTCGATTTAGAAAAATAGACCTTTAAAAACGTATTTTTTAATGTTTCTCCAAGATCTTACCTTAGAAAATAAGATAAATATTGGGAAGGCCAAAGATATTTTTTATGTTATGCAAAGCTCATTACCCACATTTGAATTTTTAACACATTGCATCGCGTTAGTGCATTAAAAGAATTTTCTATACAATTGCTGTATAATTAAGAAAAAGAAAATAAGAAGCTCGAATGGCAGTTATATTTGTGTGTACGCGTGCTGGGAAGATAACGGACCCAGTATTGTCCAAGAAAGGGACGTACTGCCCATTTCATGGTTTGGGAAGCAGCCGCTGGTGTCGCTGCAATTCGTGCGCGCGCGCACTAGCGGATGCTGGCGAGACAGGTCGCACAGCGTAAACCAGCGTAAACAAGGGTGAGTGGATACCATCGAAAAGGGCGGCGTGCACATATTGTAGAGATGAAAAGTGGCAGCTTCTAGTCAACCAGCGCGTTCGAATCGTGCAACTCATTCGATGAAGAAACAAGAGAACCAAGAGGAACGTTTGCATCGTAGCCAGTAGCGACGTGAAAAGCTAGCCATTCATGAGAAGTTCTCTAGTGTGAAAAGGATAGAGGTCTACCGGCAGTGCCTGCTGCCATTGCTACCAACCTGCCATCTACCCAAGTCTTCGTCCATCGGTTGGAATAATAAAGGCTCTCTCTTCGAGCTGTATTTAGGTGCGCAGTAAATATACATTGTATGTGAACGTAAAGAGGGAATCTAACGAAAGTATATTTTATCGTTCGTCGGTGGCGAACCCGTGGAAATTGTGCATTAATCATTAGGTCCTTTTAACTTCGTGGCATTTCGGTACGTATGATGTGATATAATAAGCTCTGTCCAAAGTGTCGATTTTATTCGTCATGAATGCTATGCAGACAGCTGTGGGGACGTATTTGCGCGCGCGCGTGCGTCTGCGTCACAGTCGCGCCGTGAGCGAGTAACTAGGAGAGTGAGTAAAAATGGGAGAGTCGATGAGAAAGAGAGAGAGGGAGGGGGAGACATATAGAACAAGAAAGATAACACCAGTCTCATTATTCAGACGGCTTCTTCTAAACAGTATCAGTGGATGAGATTGGAGGTTAGAATCCTTGGTTGCGAAAATCAGCTAATATCGAGTATGACAAGTAAAACCATCGTAAAACGTTAACGAACCGCAGCTAGGTAGATTCGTAATACCTAACATAATTGCCAATACTGACATGTGATTTCTTAGAGAGAAGCATCTGAATCTTGTATTCCCAGCATATCTGTGCTCAATGGCCAGTTGGCTTAGCATGGCACATGTGCTTCTGCACTTTGTATTGAACATCACACAATTCGAGATAAGTTTCTAAGTTTTTCATATGTTTCTGCGTGCTGCCCACACTCCTCACTTTTTCTCTCTTCCCCTCTGCCGATCCCTTTCGCCGTTCTGGCAGTCAAACGACAGTAACTCGTGCTACGTTACGATTCCACTTCGGAATCACGTCGCGATCTTCTCCTTTAAAACGTGGAAGTGTCTGCTGTGACTACGGAGGTACGAATGCGTATTACGTATCGCGAGAGAAAAGCTAATGCGGGGCCACAGCGTGGACGGATTTTGATAAGAGAGAAGAAAACAGTCTCGTGAAGAAATGCTGTCTATCTGGTTATATTCCTCGCGTGGCACTGAGAGTCTCGTTACACACGTCCCTACACGAGAATACTTGAGTGAGGATCGAATAGACGTTTTATGCTAGCGAATATCGTGTCGCTACGACACGTTCGGACATATGTATGATTAGGATAGCGTAAGAGTGAAACTCGGGGACAGCGCAGAGCGCAGAAAGTCCCAGAAGTTCATGAGCGACCATTACAGCCAGTTTATACGAAACGAGGCACGGCCATGTTTGTCGGTAGCAGAATTGTACAGCTTGGCGGTAGTCTAGGACTGTATCAAGGACGTGCAAAAGGTTCTGACATTAAAATCGCGGCTAGCACGAATATATGTGTGTGTGTATATATATAAATGGGTCCTTCGATCCACGTTGTAGGATAACAAGGATCTTTACGAATGATCAGCGTTCATTTTCTCTCTTTTACTGCGTTGGACGTACTAAAGCCTTAGGTGAATGATCAACAAGATCAAAGTTTTCATTGACACGATTCTTCTTGGCATTGGATGTCTTTGAAAATCGTTTTCTTTTCCTGCAACGATGCAAGACAGGGACAGCATCATAAAACAGATTGACTCACGTGCCGATCAGTATGATATCCAGAGGATAAATGTTAACTATGCATGATGTGGTGTCGAGGTGCAGTTTCTGGGACTCGGGAATTGTAGTCGTGAAATATATTTACATGGGCCGAAGAGTGTGTACGCCCAGACAGGCCCAGAGAAATGATAAAAACATGAGGATGGCCAGAAAGTAAACGGTAATGCTGAAACCTATAACAATATACTATACTATAAACCTATAACTTCGTGGATGAGCAATAGAGCGCGAGGAGTCGCTGCTGTTGGTTCCGTGAACAATCAGCGGTACTCAACCGGCCGAGAGCCACGAACGGGAGAGCGAGGATCGAACGCACTGCTTATTTCGTGGCGGAGTGTAACATGCTCGCGCTCGAGATACTTGTCCCTCGACTACGACCTTCCTTCCCAGCAAGAATGTTCACCTGTCTAACTTGAAGAAGAACCACATCCTCTACTACTCGACTGCGTGGTCAAGATTCGTTGAGTTTCGGATGAGTCTCCGTGAGCAACCAGCACTTACGTAACCAACCTTTGAATTTCCTCCAATGGCTGCCTATTGCCAGGGTAAGAGAGAACCTGCCGTACTAGAGTTTACATCGATTTTCATCGCCCAGTTCATAGGAAATATTCTCCAGGATTCTATACAGAATAATGGGAGATCCTATGAGATCCTAGGGGGATTGTACTCATCATCTAGGGATTTTCTCTTGGATATCTCCGAGTCTGGATTCTCCCAGTGGAGTTTCCAAGTTCCTTGATTGTATCGGCAGAAGGGTGACGAATGCCGGAATGTCTACGCTGGATACCTAGATGAGAGGTATTAATCCGACAGCAGACGTAGGGTCTTCAAATCGTAGCTGATCGTCTCCTGGGAAAGTGAATGTTACTTGCGCGTCGAAGAAAATGAAGAAAGAGAAGGAATGATGTTCGGCCGAGTGTCTTTGTTCCCGTTCAAGCTGGGAGTGTGCGCACGCGTCACTCAAGACGCACCTAGCATTTTGTAGAAACCTGTTACGTATCTAAAAGTGAAGAGAATCGATTGCTCGATATATTTTCTTAACGACCAAATGTATTTTGCATTGTGGTGCTGGTGTCAATGTTATTGTAAAAGCCTGAGGAAGATTATTACGGAATAGTTTACAGCCAATCTCACGGATTTTACAACAAAACCAAAGTCTGAGGTAGTTCCTAAGGTTTCCCACGAATTGCTGATGTGACCTATTTGCTAATTCAACGAGAACAGTGACGTTTGCGATTATTTCGCAAGATTATTATTTAGCCATGTAATGCCAATGCAATTGAAGACAGGGCGTGCGCAGTAATTATTATTATTCCACAATGGATCATTTATGTTGCTTCCAACGATCAATCAAAGAATGACAATTACTACCTAATATGTATTGCATTTTGTGGACGTCATCAAACTCAATTAATATATGTATATCAGAGCTCTATATGGACATGTCATAGAATACGTAAATCAGTCTACAAATTAATCCGTATCGCATGTATAAAGGATTTGGAAATTAGTAGAGGATCCAAGGCTGATTTTCAGGATAGTGCAATTGCAGTTTAATTCGTAGACTTCGGGGTCAGTAGTGTAGTCAATAGTGAATCCATCTATCAGTTAATTACCTGTTTGCAACTAGCTGCATTATTTGCAGCAAGTTCAAGCGGAGGAGAATGGGCGGGTCGGGCCGGTCCGTGCGATGCGTGTCGCGTACTCATAGCTAAATATAGAATTAAGGAAATTTGCCAAGGACATCACTGAGGATTTATGTAATCAATGACAAAGAGTGAACATTTTCCCAGCTGAGTAGGAGTGAATTTGAGAAAATTCTATTATTCTGCTTATCGGGCTCAATTTTACTCTATTGGCAACGAGCTAAAATTATGATTTAGTTGCGTGCGTGTGTTATTTAGTCAGTAATTCAACGACACGTCATTCCGTTATTCCTAAGCAAACTGCCAATAAAAATTATAAATGCGACAATTCGACCGTAGGCATTGCATTTGTGTGGGACACGATAATCAGTCGAGTTTCCGAATCGTAAAGGTCTCGGTAAAAGAGAGACACGTTTAGAAAAATTTTATTTGTGCCATTTCCGATAGATGAGTACACAGAACTCGTGAGTTTTGAGAACTATTAATTTGGACGTGGTACGTATCCGTGTGTGCCGAAAGTTCACATCTTATTTGAAGAGGGAAGGATTCTGTGAAAGGGGCGCTCGCGCAGGGTTGGCGTATTCTCGCACAAAAGGGATTGATGGATGTTTAAGCATGATAGCCGTATAGAGTGAATAATGGGGGAGAGACGGCGGGGAAAGGGGCGTCGAGGGCCGGAGTAGATAAATTTTTCGATTTGACTGTCGACGCAGGTGTGCCAGCTGCAGAAGTCAGGATGGACGAGTACGACAGGAAGTTTGCCGAGATGCAAAAGTACATTCCCTTCTTGGAGGCGATGATCAAAAGACTCCAGAAAGTCAAAGACAGATCGCGAGAGGTGCAACTGCAGAAAATGCAGAGTCTCCACGGAATTCTTTCGAACAGTAAGAGGAAGTACGTTTTGTTTCCATCTTCCTTTATTTTATTTTATTCTTCGCCTTTTCTTGTCCCGTGCCCCAAAGACGTCCTACTACCAGAAAGTATTGTGGAACCGAGTCCGGGGATTCCCACAGCTATTCGCATCAGTCAAATGCATTCGAAATTGGCTGACTTGCGACTGTCACCTTTGCTCAAGTACCGAATTACCTTCGAATGGTGTAAGAATGTGCTTGCGCAACTGCGATTTTTCATTCGCAGTTGAAACAAGGCGATTCTTATTTATCGAGCGAATTAGACAAAGATGGTTGCGTTTGGATTTGAACGTTCGCCTTTACTTTTGCGATTCACTGCACCTGCGCACCATAGAAAAGATTTGGACGTTTCTTTGGATGCGTTTCCACGGTTCCCGAATTACTTATGGTACCTGAGGCCCAGGCGTGACGCACTATACCGAATTTTTGTAATTACAACCGCAAGTCAGCCGATTTCTCATTGCGTTTATTGATACCTAAAACGTATGCAGACATTGCGACATCCGACACTAGTAATTGCAAGCAAATACAGCGAGAGTGAATATTTTCATGATTATACTATTAATCATCAATCTCTTACGATCACTGATCAAGATTTTACCCGATACGAAAGATACACACAGCAGCACAATACTGATAGGTGGTAATTGTCATAATTACCAATTCAATATAGATCTCTTCCTAATAATGGTGCTCTGCCAAATTTACGATTTCATCGTTATCGCAATAAAGTTTGAATAATTAATATTAGTCATTTATTCCTTAGAATTATGTATAGAAATAAGATAAGGTCGCCAGTATTAATCTAGGTGAATGGAAAATAAGCAAATCATCCAAAAGCTCCAATTGATCCGTCGTTGTTAGAGTGGCATGTACTTTTATTCAAAAATCCTTATACCACTATACTATTTATACGAAGCAGCGTAAACGAGCGACGAATTCTGTACCAGGATTCGCTATTCATTTATTCAGCTGGAATTGCATTGTGCGTCAATCGACTCAAAGTATTTTCTCGTGTGGTACCTTGGATGAAAATCACAACGATTTCGCAAGCCTGCATACGATTTTTTCTTTACCTTATTTGACCTATGTTTACACTTAGAATTGCTCATTTGTATATCATGGCCCACAAACATTTGAGTTTTCTTGCTGCTAAGTGCACACCTTATTTTTTTCTACACTGCTGTACCACTTGGAGCATGCTGTCGCACCTTTGATATTTGTGTCGTTGTTCAAAGTTTCCATAATAATATATCACGAGTTACGATTGTTTAACTTTTACTTTTGTGTTTTCATCTGATTATCGTTTCGTGCTATTTCTTTTTGGCATTTTCATGAATTCTCGCATTTAATATGGAGACAGTGCGGCATATCGTACGCTTCACTAACGAAAAATTTCGTTTTAGTCAAAAGTCGTATCACTAGTCACGGTCTTTGCTGTTTTCATACTTTTATTCGATTGAAAGAGTGTTAATTGACTCAAAAAGATAAAGAGTACCGGCCATGATGTATAAACGTATAGCCTAGTGAAACGAGTAGCCCTTTTGGAAACAGAGGAGTGCTCGAATTAATCGTGTGCTATCCTTCACGCAACAGGTTGAGGATTGAGACCTTGCAGAGATGTGAAGACGTACTACAGAAACTGCACAATAAAGTAGAAAAGGTAGATATTTACGAAATTTTTGCACGAATTTAAATTGTCCCGTGAATGTCGAAATTATTCAAGTTTCGGAAGAAAGCTTTCGTTTTTACTCTCTTTGAAGATTATCGTATTGGTCTCTTTATAAAATTCAAACGTTCACTCAGCATTTTACTACGCATAAAGATTGATTTTTGAAAGTCTAACCGGAGCATATTCTACTCGGACAAATATTCTCTTCCATGTTTTTTTTTTTCTGGGTTTTATATATTTGTTTTATATTCATGTATTCGTATGTCACCTCTCCTAGACGTCACGTATATTACTCAGTTGGCATAATTATATTGGATTCTATAAAATACATCGCTTGCATAAGATATGATGCACGGCCACTATTAGCCTTCATGAGCTTGAACGACCCAAAATCTTCTTATGTTTATCCCGGGAAAAAAGAATGTTGTGTCTCTTATGTATGGAAAAAAAGAAGAGAACCTTTTAAAATATCTGACTCTATTCCTACAACGATGTAATTTTATTCTAGAATTTCGCGTAAATTAATATCGAGATTTATGATCGTATATCTCCCTATTATGTGTCTTATTCTCTTGAATGGTTACTAACAGCACTGTTAACTTTTCTGAACATATTATTTCTCATAGCACCGTCTGACATAATTACTCGCTTTTTACATGATTATCTTGTATACACTTTGTGACAATATAGTTCTACATCCTATTGAACAATTTTAAATAGGAGTATCGCCGTAATCAATTTTTCTTTCTCAAATCTTTGGTGTAGTCTGTATGGGTACATGTGTCTTTGCTCTGACTTTCTATCGTATCATGTTATTTACTTTGCTTCTTTTCCAGACTTGTAGTGCATGTTTTTTTTATTTGTATTTTAATTCTTCTAATTCTACACGAGTTTCAGGGAAACACACCTGAATTAACTATTCCGAGTAAGAAGTGTGACGTCACCACCGTGCAAGCTGCGGAGTAAGTATCGAAACTTAGTTTAATCCAACTTTACGCACACTTTACGTGATACATATTGTAGAGTGTCCCTGTATCTCAGTATAGTATGAAACTCATCGTACATATAAATGTTCATTATTATCTGCAAAGGATAATATTGTTCATTCTAAAAAAAAAAACAATTTACATTATTGATGCTGTTTAATAGTATTTTCTTTGATTTATTTATTGTTTCTTTAAATGTAATGATTATTTTTCTGTGATTTCGATTCCAGTAGTTTTCAAACGTCGCTATAGGCCGACTCCTATGATTAGTGAATTCTGGCATTCCGTTGGAAAAATGTAGATCATGAAATTTTCAGCTCTTCGGACGACGTCTGTATGAAGAAGCAACAGGAAACCGAGTGGTCAACAAAAGAAGCCATGGACGAGACTCCAGCCAGCCCAAGTCCACCGGCGAGTCCCAATCCAACGTTACGGGCGGCCCCAATTATCATTCCTACGGAGCGTAAGGAGGAGTTTTCTACAAACAAGTTGGACAGCAAGCCAGCAAGTCCTGATCAATGTGAGACAGTCTCAACCAAAGCCCCAATAATCATTCCCACAGAGCGAAAAGAAGAAACTACACTGGATCAACAACTTCATTCGAATGTAAGCTCGAGCAGCGGCCGGTCCGAGAGCAATTTTTCCGAGTGGGACATGCTAGAGGAATCGGAGAAGAACTTAAAAATTTCCAGAGGACCCTCCTGGCAGTCGAATCCAGTAACTTCACAGGATGTTGTTACGGCAGCTAAATTAGTAGGAAACAGCTTGCCGCAGAAAGTTGGTTCTGAGTGTAGGCCTCTTACGACAATTCCTGGTCGCCATATACCAACCGTGCCAGTGCCATCTCTTGGTGGGTCGCGGAGGCTTTCCTCTGTTTTAGAAAAGAACAGACTTGCGGGTTTGAGTTTAGATTTGGGTAATGAAATGAGGCTCGAGTCCCCGCCAAATCTACAGGACGCCAGGCTAAGGTCTCCTGATCCGGACTTATTTAATAAGAAAAATACATCGCCGAGACCGAAAGACGCCGTCGCCGTCACCGCCGCCGTCACCACAGCTAAGATTAGCCCCAAGCCAGTTGCGACCACTTCGCTATTAGTTTCACCTCCGCCGGTCCTCACGGAGCCACCGCTTTCCATTGAGGATTTGGCGGAACTCTTGAACGAGGAAGATGTACCAAAGAATGATGAGAAAGCAGACAATCGAAAGGAGAAAGATGAGCCACGCAAAGGTAGCGTCTGGGAAAGATTGGGCGAAGAAGTAAGTAAGATGCAGAAAGACACGACGAAGAAAGAGACGACGAAGCATCAGCAGCAACAGCAGAATGTGAACATCAATAACAAAGAAACGAGAGTTCCTAGAAGGTTTCTGTTGTCACAGGAAGACATTGACAGGGAAAGTGAGAGACGTTGGGAGGAAGTAGACAAGCATATTGTTAAGCTCACTAGCAAAAAGTATTTACCTAACAGGAGCATAACTCCGCCTTTAAGTGGAAAACTCGACAATCCAAAAGCTGGAGAACAGGAAGCAGTAACTACGAGTCAGCGTATTTCGCAAGGTACCGCTCCGTCAACGATAGTCAGTACGGATAAGGCAGCTGATCCTCGAAATCGGCCACCGTCTCCAAATTGTAGAGAACGAGAACACGAGCCACGATATGCTGACAATTATGAGAGGCACCCAAGGCAATCCAGTGTGCTGTCTCGGTTAATGGAGGACGAATTAACAAATATGGCTCAGACTAATCTGCAGGGTCATACTGAAATTCCGTCAAAGTCCGAAGAAAGGAATCCACTGTACCAAAGACGTTGTCAGTCATCAATTTCTAATGAGCCTTCATCAAGTAGAGACAACCCAGATTATTTCAATAGACAAATTGGCAATATAGCTAATAGGCCACCCGATCACCAATCACCGGCCAGAAACGATTTCTGTGGACCTCAATGGGGTCCTGGTGGTAACTTTAGTGGCAATATCAATCCTTCTCAACCACATATACCAAATCCGTATCAACGTCCTCCCAATGTTCATCCGGATATGTGGCAGATGCCAGGAGTTGCGAATCCTATGCCCATGGAACCTCATCCTATGAATGATTCACAACTTAGGCCTCAGTTTCCTCCTAATCATGTTCAAACGATTAGACCAATGATCAGTCCGACTCAGCGAACGCAAGAAATGAACTCAGGATTCAGTGGTAACGATGTGCCTAATAGTAACGTACCATTAATACAACCCTTGATGTCCCCAACAAACTTTTCGGTAGGTAATCAGTTTAGGGGTTACCAAGGAGAGAATAGACCACCATATGATGCGAACTATGAAATGCAGCAAAATTATGAGATGTCTAATTATGAAATGACGAATTATGAGATACCCAATGAATTTGGTTCACACGTTAGACCAGGGTGGGAGGCTCAGCCCAATAACAGACCAAATGAACCTATGTTTAGACGGGACAACGAGCAACCTCGTAATAGGCCCAACACAGGCTCAGATGGACCTAGACCAAGCACACCTAATCCGTACGCACGTTCTAGTACACCTTGTTCCTGGAACAGAGATCAAAATTGGTCTAGACGTGGTAGAGGGAGAGAACGTTATTACAATGACAGCAGAGCTCGAGGCGAAGGTCGAGGTGGATTTAATCGCGATTCTCGTCCAGAGTGGGAGAACCCTAATCGATTTAATAGGGATGGCAATCGCGTCTCCGAAAGAGATCCTCGTATTCGTCAGGAACATCCGCTTCAAAGTGCTGTTCCACCTAGAGATGCTAACAACTCTAGTACCGTAAGAGATCCTCGTTTAGCAAAGGACATTCAGTCCTCGACTATGAAACCTAAGGAAACAAATACCAACGATCGAGATCCCAGGAGACGTAATTCAGAATCCAAAGACAGTAGTAAACTCTTGCCAAAAACAGTTAAAGACAAGACTAAAACTCAGAAATTTTCAGAGGCGAAGAACAAAAAGGATACCGAGATGGACTCCAGGCAAACTGCTACGAACGATAAAACATCTAAAGACAAGATGTCGTCACCGTTGGAGAGTCTCTATGGGGTGATAGATACTAAGGCTAAGGCAGGGCCAGGATCTGGATTACAGAAGTTTAAGATTCCAAAGATCAAACGTCCAGATCCACCACCGGTATCCATACTCAACGAGGGTAAAGATGATATTGAAGATGAGCCCGAACAGTGGGATGATATAATCGATGAAAATACTGGAACTGATCGCAACATCGTATCTCCGAGACAAAACGGTGAAAATGACGGTACCATGAAATTTACCGGTGAAGAAAGTTCCTCGTATGAAAAGAATAAAAAAGGAGATAAAGAAAGTCTCTCACTTGATGCCAATACAAATTCAGGAAAGGAGATTTTCGATATATCTGCTAAGTCTACGAAGGGCGAAAGGGAATCGAAAGATCAGTCGGTTCTGGATTGCGATGGTAAGATTTCTGGCGAGTTATCGAAGGAATCTGGGGGATCGAAATTGAAGGAGGACGTAACGCAGGAGTGGATCGAAGCTCTCATAAGAAAATCGTTAGAGTCTGGCGAAGGTAAGAAGCTTTTGGAGCAAGCGAAGCTGTTGCACAAAATTGGTGAAGTTTTACAAACAAAGAAGTTGAGGAGGATAAAGAAAATTATTGAATCTGATTCGGACAGCAGTAGTTCAGATAAGGAGGAAGTTGAAGTGAAGAAGTCTCAACAGAAGAAGAAGAGGCGAGTTATAGTTTCAGACAGTTCAGAGGAAGAATCCTTGGCTGATAGACTTGGAATGTTGATTACACCAGAGAAAACTGATGGCGATGACAAATTGATAAAAGAGAATTCTAGTGTCAGGGATACCGCGAAGGAGGAAGATAATACCGTTGGTAAACTAAGCTCAGAGAAGTCTGAAGTCTTTGATGAAGCAACTAAACTGACGGAGTCGAAGAATCAGGGTGATACCGATTCTGTAACGAAACGACGGAAAGCTGGAAGGAGAAAAACTAAGGATGCTAAGAAACAAGATGTTGAAGAAGATGGTAGCAAGGGTACTGATAACAAGGACTCTAAAGAAGTTGAGGATAAAGAGAACTCTGCTAAACTGCCAGCGAAAGTGAAATCAAAGCGACGAAATTCTTTGGAGATGTTGCAGGAAGATATAAGGGAAATGTTTATAAGTGAGGGTGTTGTAACTGCTACGGGTCATCGAATGTGTAGATTAATTAAAGAAGGCCAGTCAAATTTGAATGCTGCTGTTGAAAATCTTCCTGGCCTTACTATAGAGTCGAAGAAATTGTCACCAGTTGGCCTCTCCGACAAGGAGGTTAAAAATGCAAAATCATCTGACAGCGAAGGATCTAAAACATTAAAGCTCAGGGGACCTAAAAGAATGGTTAAACGTGCTAATAAAACTAGATCAAAGGAATTTGTACGAAGTTCTGGGAGTGAAGAGGATCAACCATTGGCACACCGAACAGAAAATCTTTACGGATCAGAAACAATGGAGCCATCACAAAATGATCAAGTACCTTCTAGTGAGCAGAACTTGCAAACTCCTGAGAATGCAATGCAGACTGAAGGAGATGACTCTCTACGAAGGAGTAAACGAGTCCTTCGTAAGGATATCCTGAAGGAGCCTCGAGTTTTACTGGAGAAGGCTGACTTAAGTAAGTTTGATTCATCAAAAATGATGTTTGACAGTTCCTCGGATGAAAGTTTTGGTATTGATGTGTCAGAATTAGTAGCTGCCGTAGATATTTCCCTACATCCTGAGCCGCAAGATCACTCCGAAATCCCTGAAGGAGAGAATGATCCGAAAAAACGGCCACAGTCGGTTGTCAGTAAACGTAGAAAGTACGTAAGGAAGAAAAATACTATGCAAGTTGCTCCGGACAAGGCTGACGACGCTGCTTCATGTACGGACGAGGGGAGTGTTGTTTCGGATATTTCATTACCCAGCAGTACTACTACTGGTAAGAAGACACAAAAAAGTAAGGTTAATTTATTATCGGATACCAACGAGGAACTATTGAGTAATATTTTGGTAGGATTGGTCCGTCCTAAGTCAGCTGTAGAGAAAGTTTCATCTGCTGCGGATAAAGAGAGTGACCTGGAAGCTGATGAGGAACCTGACGACAGTTTATCTATTCGGGAAGCGTCTAAGAAGGCCGTTCCGAGGAAGAAGAAGAAGAAGTTAAATTGGCAAATGGGAATTCTCAAGAAAAGAAAAAAGAAAACACAGAATGTATCTTCACCAGTTCCAGAAAGTACAGAATCAGGAAGTACGGGTATGTCAACGGACCAACCTAAAGACATCGAAACATCGGAGGCCATTACTTCTGTTCCATCAGGTACTCAAGCCAAAGCAGCGGCCGATACTGTCCTCCAAAGAACAGGCACTGAAAAAGATAATCGTGCTCCAAAGGAGACTTCAGCAAGCAACGAACACTGTGAATCCACGAATACAACCGAATCACAATCTCAAATGACAGCCATCAAGCTAGATACAAATTTCAAAGTAGTTATTAAGGAATTTAAATCCGAAGAAGAGACGGCGATGGCACAAGGTGGTGCTACAGCGGCCGTAGCCGAAGAAGAAAATGTTGTAATGGACGATGAAGAAGCGGACACTAAAGAACAGGTTGTTTTGAATCCTGTTAAGAAAGAAGATTTAAGTAACGTTAAAACGGAGGATCTCATTAATTACACTTGGTCTGGCCAAGATAGATACAAGTGTCTACTTTGTTTCTTTTCCGGCAAGAACATAGTTCACCATTATAAACTGAATCATTCAAGTGCTGGAGCACTAATTTCTAGATTAATCGAGTCAGAGGCAAAACTTGCAATTGAAGAAGCACAAGAAAGGAATTTTGAAGAAAATAATGTTGGATTCATAAACAGGGAACGATGCAGATTTTATTGTAGATTTTGTCATTTTTCTACCGACGGAGCTAGCAATATCGCGATGGAGACCTTCTACGAACATTGCACAACCCACACTGGGGAGTACAGATTCCGTTGCGTGAGCTGCCCTTATCAAGCGGTCGCCAAATCATCTATGAGAACGCATTATTACAAGGTCTGTCGCAAATTGTCCCAGACGGTAGCAGTAGCTATCATAGAGGACAGCATTCCAGATGAGAACAGTATTTACGGCTACATATGCTTACGGTGCAACTTCGTGCAGTTGAAAAAAAGTAACATAGAAAAGCACATGCAGGACTGGCATAGCGCTGAGCCTGAGACAAAGTTTATCAAAATAAATATGTCCAAAGATCTAACAGAGGGCGCAAATAATGCCGAAGGAACGGAGCTCCTAGACAGCTTGAAAGACTCGAGCAAGGATTACATTGAGCCAAAGGAGATGCAAGTACCGGAGAAAACGGAAGTCAGTGCGCAGAATTCGAACGCCGAAACTCCTAGTAGTGCTGCGGCTGCGAAGTCGGTAGAAACTGGTATGCACGCCGCTAGTGAAAACTTTGAAATTACATCTAACGACGGGCCGGAATTAGACCGAACCATGAAGCAAAGTGAGGGGAGGTCGTCTGGACAGGAAAACGAAAACGAAGCTAAGGTCGGTGATGGCCAAGGAGATATAGATGGACCTACCGTTACTGGAAATCTTAGCGCTTTTGTGTGTCCACCAGAACTTGAGCACAAGGAGGTAGAGATTCAATTGGAAAGACAAAAGAAAATGCAAGAAGTCATCGAGAATATTGGTATCAAGGTAAATAAGGATGGTTCTAAGAGAGGACTTTCCATTATTGATAAGCTCAAGGATAAAATGGCGACAACGTCAACGGACAATCAACAAGTCGAGTCTTCTGCCGTAAATATACCACACGAATTAACACCAGTAATTGTGAGTACTACGTCATTATCCGTTGCTACAGATACGTGTTTAAGTGACGTGACCGATTACAGTCAAAAAGAAAAAGAATCTAACGTATCTGTAGTCGATATGGTTGATAATGTTGGGGAAAATACTGTCGAGCCAACTGTCAGCGGCACTAACTCGGAACACAAGTTTTCACAGGTACTGACAGTAGGTGATGATGATACACAAAGGAATTCGAGCGGATCCGATACTAGTGACGATGAAACATTGGGAGATTCTGTTTTGCCTTATGACTCGGATTCTAGCTCAGACCAGTCAGACAATGAACTGTCAACTGATGTAAACACGTTGCTCAAGGAAACCTCGAATATCAGCACCCCCTCCCAGGATCCTATGATGACAACTATTTATAGATTAGCAGCTCAACTTAAAGGTGGTAATTCATATCAATCGGGGAAAGAGGAGTCTGCCCACGACGAGGAATCGAATTCCGAGGGATCTTCTCCTAAGAAAGATATTCCCAATCCTCCAAATGTTATACCCTTGACAAGTATCAGACGATTTCGTGGTAGACAGAATGAGCTGCAAGAAATATCTGACGGAATGCTTGATGACACGTCCCAGTTAAAGAATTTCATTCGACTGAGGCGTCTAAGCGGAGACACGCTCTCTCAACCTATGACTCCCATGGACAACAAAGACGGTTCTTTATCAGCAGTTGCAACAGTGGATGCAAAAGCCAGTGATAACTTGAAAAGAGACATTTTGCAAACAAATACGGATGACACGTGTTCATTCCTCAGAATCGAGAATGTCGTAAGTCTTGCTCCAACAGCCAATAATGATGGAAATGAGATAATTGTGAGCGACATAAGAAAAGCAATGGAAATATCGCCAGTTAAATGTAAGTCGGTGTCACTCCTAAAGAGAACAAATCCACTAATTCTCAAACGAAATATTCGTTCAGCTATTCTCTGCCATTCACCATCAAAAGCACCAAGTTCAACAGTCACCACGATTTCACGGGACTCGGTAAAAATTATACCACTGAAAAGTTCACCGTCGACCTCAGCCATAGCTATAAGTCCACCTCAGGTATCTAGCAAGTTCAAGCCTATCGCGCCGGCACCACAAATTGCTATTCAGTTGGATCCTACAACGTTGGGATTGTCAGTACCGTTGAGTCAAACTGTTACTGCACCTGCGACTAACCCTAAGACCGTAACTGTCACCACTACTGGGACCTCGCCAAAAATCAATTGCAAAATTGTTAAGGTTATTCACTCGCCGAGCCTCCTGAAGCATATAGAGAATGGGAACCAAACTGTGGCCTTGAAACTCAAATCCACTGATGCTTATAAGTCGATGCTGGATGTAACGAAACTTCGTCATTTGTACAAGTGTATGTCCCAGGAATGCAGCTTCACCACGGACCATGTTGATCAATTTTGTCGACATTATCAAGAACACGAGATTTCTGCTGATAAAAAGCCCGGAAAAACGTCCTATGATTATCAAAATTGTGCTTACTGTTATAAAATTTTAAAAAACGTGGCGCACGTTAAACGACATGTACTGGAAAAGCACTCATTCTGCCAGTTTCAATGCAGCTACTGTTTCTACAGAGCTGCCGCTCAAAGTTATGTTGAAATTCACCAGGTAAGAATTATCAAATGTTACGTGGTTGCAGTCTAATTGAATGTTCTGACAACTCATCTCTTCATTCTATTGCAGAGTTCCTGTCACAAAAATAAACCTATTTCTGTGCTACATTGTCACAATGTTAAATCAAAACCACCTAAGGATAACATTGATCGAAGGGACTATGTAGTTCCATTCGTTTGTCAACATGGTACTTTAACAAATTACTTCTTTTTCGTACTATACTGCACATTCGTGCATTAGATGCATGAATTTTACATTACGGTTTATTGATTTTAGAATGCGGTATGACTTTCTACATTCCTGAAAATTTTGAGTCACATTTAAAAAATAGCCATGGATCCAATCTGTCTATATTTAAATGTCATCTGTGTCCAGCAACAAGTCTGAAGTCAGAACAGCTTTTCTCCGTATGTTATATATATATTTTCTTAATCTATGGATTTCTAACGTCACTGAATATAATACAAGTTATTATTTTATCTCTATTTTTCAGCACTACAAAATACATGGCGTTTATAAGTACCAGTGTTTGTACTGTATCTGTGGATCGGATACCACGGCAGAACTGCACAGTCATCTTAGTAAATTCCATTGTAACCGGATACCTGTTATTCTTGAAAGATCTTTTCCTGATCGGGTAAGATATATAAAAAAAAAAAAAAAAAAAAAAAAAAAAAAAAAAAAAAAAAAAAAAAAAAAAAAAAAAAAAAAAAAAAAAAAAACATGGCATTTCCCATATATAATATTTTTTTACTAAGGCAAAGATTTGTAGATTCAGTTAGGTACAATATTAATGTTCACTGATAACCTGTAGATATTGATTTTTGCAGTGGCTCACGGGAACAGTCGATCATCTGATATCCATAAATTTGGAAGATAATTATAGCTTTTCAAAATTGATAAAAGAGAACACTGGGCAGTCTGAGGTTCTTCAAGCATCGCAGAGCGGAATTGTGAAAACTGTCGCATTGCCATTGGATAACGTAACAAGTGTTGCTTCCTTAGAAACGCCAAAAATAGCGGGTAGTACTATTGGATTAAATCAAGCCGAAAGTAGTACCATATCAAAGATATCAAATAACTTGGCGAATAGCATTGAGAGTGCTAAGAATGTCGTCAGCAATCAAACTGATGAGAGACAACAGAATGAGAAGGAACAGGATATTGACAAGGCATCTCGGAAAAGTGATTCGGAAATTGTAAACAAAAATCCCAAGTTAATATCAGAGCCATCGTCGAAGATAGCAAAAACACTGAGTTTTAATACCGTCTCGGATGCGTTGTCCGTATTAAAAACCAAAAATACAAGTGTTTACTGCTTAATCGATAAGAATGCCGACAATACCAAAGAAGATTCGCAGCACATTCTCCAAGAACCTGAATTGCTGCTGAAATACGTCGACGAGGACATGAAGAATGCCCTAGAAAATGCGGTGGATCCTCTGGAATTTTCGGAAGGGACGAACTGCAATGACGAGTTTGTTCATATTAATATTTTGGACAATCCTGAATTTTTGAAAGGCTTGGAACGTCGTGACAGTACCCAGAATGCGAAGGAACGGAGTAAGAATGAAGATAGCGACATAGAAATTTTGGAAGATATTGTTAACACCTGTAGCAGTAAATCGAATTCAGGAACAATTACTACTGGTAGAGAAGAGAGACACGAACGTAGGCCAAGAAAGGATGTGTTGGAGCCAAAATTGGAGGATCCCCCGATTGTGTGCAGCAGTGCTGAAAACTCAAACACTTCCTATGACATGAGTATTAGTAGTCAAAGTACACCGCAAAAGTCGAACAATGAGCCTCTAACATTGGATGATATTAGAGACACTGGTTTTACCGGTAGCGATCTATACAAGTGCGGTTATGAAAATTGTCAGTTTGGAGCTGCGAATCCGGCGCTGCTGAGAACACACTTAAAAGAATGCACTTCAGCGCCTGAGAATCGAAATCTGAATTGCGTACATTGTCACAAGCATTTCCTTAAAATTGGTTTTCTGCTGGAGCATTTGAAACTTCACGGTTTGAAGCGCTTTGGTTGTGGACTCTGTAAAATGAGGTATGCGATGTCTTATCAGGCAATGGCACATATGAAAGCAAAACATAAGCATAGTAATAGTAAGGTTGTACCAGCGGATCCAAAAAATCCTTCTGTCGATGGTCTCTTCGTTATTCAACCCGTATTGAACGTAAGTCAACTGGAGATGCGGAGTTGAGTGAATTTCAATTTTTTCATGAATTAACCTGTAGTTAAAATTGTTAACAGCGCCTTAATATAGCAAAAGGTAATGGAAAGAAGCGTGCGACGACCAAACAAGCTGAGAAGGAAGTCGAGAAAAGTGTGGAAATAGAGAAGGTGTCTTTCAGTCCAGATGACATAGAATTCCTTCCTCGTCAGGCGATTTATAATCGTGAGGTGCAATGTGCCGTTTGTCCCTACACTACTAAGGTCAGGACGAACATAATCCGACACCTGCAGCTTCACGCCAAGGACGAGACTGTACCTGAATCCGGTCCTGTCAATCCTGTTCCCTGTTTGGATAAGAAGGAAAGGATGTTTGACAAGATGGTCAATCTTGCTAGTAGCTCGCATCAGAATGGACGGATGGGAGGAAAGCCAAAAGAAGCACCTAAGATTGATGAGGATGAGAGCATGCCGAAGTTTGTACCTGAGCATAAAAGGTCTATTTTTATTTTCACATTGGTGCTATATCTTACTTCAATGCTTTTATTGCGATAGTCTTTAATGATTTACAGATATGTCTGCGGTGTGGCGGAATGTAATTATTTGACTGTCGATGAAGCAATGTTACGATATCATCTTAAGGCCCTACACTCTGAGGAGCCATATTTTCGATGCCCTCATTGTCCTCCTCCTGTTCCTGGACAGGAGTCACAGAATATTGCCATTGACAAAATGGGAATACACTTGAAAATGCATGATACCAGACTCTATAAATGTTCTCACTGCAACCATCATCACTATCACAGGTGGGCATATTTCGCAAAATTAATATCAATCATTATCCATTTATTATTCGTATAAATTTATGAGTTAATGGCATTGAAGCATTTGGCAATCAAACTAACTGTTTTTGTAATGGAACGCATTTTTAAATCTGGTTATAATGTCTATAATATAATTATACAACGTGCTTGTCAAATGTTTCACCAATTGTCATTACCGCGGTAGGAACGATTCCTATGTTTTCTGATAGTAAAACCCAATTAAACAGGCACGTCGTGGAGAGGCACTTGACTGACAAGCATTCCGAGAAGAGACCATTTGTCAAGGTTATAAGAGAGTTGGAGAGCAATGAAAATTATCACTTGAACCAAGAAGAAACGACACAGGATGTTCCGGACCCAGATGGCAACAATTGGAAATGTAATATATGCGACTTTAAATGTGTTTACAAGGCGCAAATGAACACTCACGTAGCAAGGAATCACAATGAGAAAGCCCAGTTTAAATGTAATCTCTGTCCTTACAAGACAAATGCTAAAGTCAATTTCAGCCAACATGCATCTGTGAAGCATACGTGTGAACCGAAAACATGCTGTACTATGACATATCAAAGAATCAAAGGAGTTCCCAGGAAATCTACTGAGGGGACCGTCGAACAAGGTAGTCAGGACGAGCCTTTCGACACGACGCCTCTATGGAGAAGAGACATGCCGCGCGTCAGACACATTCGTGGAATACTTCTTGAGGACGAGAATGACACTTGGACGAGCGAATCTTCCTCTAAACCAGGGAAACGGAAGAGTGATGTTGATATCTCGACGAGACCTGCAAAAATAAGACCGGGTAAATCGGCATCCCTCGACGGTTCTAAACCTTCTGAGGATAAGCCGACACGCTCGGCTTCCTGTGAAAAAAGGATAACTGACACCGAAGATACTGCGAGAATCAGTAAGACGCGAAATACCGTCAAAAGCCAGATTTCAGACGAGTTTGTAAATCACGTTGAAGTTTCACCGAAAGATAATGCAAAGGTGCAGTCCAGTGTCTCCGAAGAGTTCAGTGAGCTTAGTGACTCAGACATGGGGCAATTTGGTCCATATGGAAAACCTCTCGGGAATATGTTTGTCTGTACTTTGTGTAATCAGTTCAAATCTAGATATAAACATGACATGAGGGATCATTTATTCAGAGAACTGAAATACGCCAGGTATGTACTCATTATATATTAATGTCACTAATGCCCGTTCACTGTTCAAGATTGTTCGAACAAATCATAAGTTCATCCTAGATGCGATTTTGTGTCGTTGCTATAACAACGCGATGAAAATAATATTTCTTCCCCTTTCCTTTTAATCGCTCGTGTCATGTATCATGCAATTTATCAGCTTTCCTTTATTCCAGGTGGCATTGCAAGGAATGTGGATTTTTATCCGTTAATCGGTCAATATTATTCAGACACTTTAGTAAACATCATCCTGGCGAACAACCTGCTCATGAACCGCTCACTCCTGACAACTCTATCGAAGACTGGGTAAGTACAGCTTTCCTTTAAATATTCAAGCAAGTAGGAAGCAATCTATTGGTAAGACTTCTAAGTAATGATAAATTATTGTAATTTTGGTTGTTACTTGCAATTATGTAGGTTGCTACGGTGCTAAACAGACAAAGTACTATGATGCGAGAAGCGGCAGTTAAGGAACGTAATAGTTCAAGCACTGCCAGTACATCGATCAGTGCCGCGAGCACTGCCATTATACCAAGTATCGCAAACGCAAACGCTATTACGAGTGTTACAATTACTACTGACACAATGACTACAACAAGTGTAACAGTGACTACAAGTTCTGCTAAGGTTATTAATGTCACAAGTGTTACAACAAGTGCGAACATTATTTCAAGTGGTACGAAAACTTCAAACGGATCAAAGAATGTCAGTAGTGTTATAACTAATACGAAAACAGGCAGAGTTGAGAATAATGCAGAAGGAACGTCGTCGCGACCAAATTCTTCAATGGGTCTTGGGATTGTAAGTGTAAAGAATTTGAGTGCCGCTCAGTCGACACAGAAATCAACAGAAAAAGGTTCCAAAACAGTGAACTTGGCGCAGGCCATTACCAGCTTGCGTAATAACACGATGGATTTCGATATGAATATTTATAATTACGACGATGACAGCAAAGATAACGATGATCTTGTGATAGACATCAAGGACGATAACTTAGATGATAGCGTTGAAGATAAGTCATCATCGAGACAGGAAAGCTCAGCGCCATCCAGTAAGTTTTTTTTTTCTTTTCTAATAACTGTTGTAGACAGCATGCTTCAAAAAGTTCTTTTCTTAACCATTTCAAACTCTCTTGTTTCCTTCAGCTCCGTCTAAGAACGAAGAAGAAAAAACTTTCTGTTGCAAGCACTGTAACATGAAGTTTACCAAAATGAGGGGCTTCAAGTTGCACGTGCAGGTGACGCACTTGAAGAGGTTAGGATTTCTGTGTCCTTACTGTGACCGCAGTACAAATTCTGAGCTTATGATGCGCCAACATATCCATTCTCGGCATCCTGGACAACCTGAAGAGATTAATCATAATCCTGCGGCAGGTGGCCCTGACCTGACGAATGAGTTTTGGGAGAAGGAGTATGGGCTGGTGTTCCCGAAGAAAACCGCGAAAAAGCGCAAGCGCCGAATCAGCGTTGATGAATCTGAAAGACGCGGAGAAGATCGAGAACATTCTGATACTCAAGACGTTTGTAAAGTATGCGGATTCAATGCGGTCAACTTCACAGGGCTGAAAGCGCATATGCGAATTCACGCAACCAGGAACACCCTGAAGTGTGCATATTGTACGTTTACTGCATCCGCGAAAGTGGAAGTCTGGCAACATTCAGAAATCAATCATCCGCATTTACCTGTCAAGACAGAGGATATACCGTTAGCGGGAACCTCTGCATCTTCAGGTCAGTTACAATCCCAGCCTAAGAAGACGAATATCGAAGACTACAGTGACGATATCGAAGAAGAGGAGATCATCACAGCTACGAGAGTCCAGCAGAAAGTCATGTACTGCTGCTTCTACTGCACATTACGTAGCAGCTCCTTGCAGACTGTGAAGATGCATTGGAACATGGTACATAAAGATCCAAAGCCTAATGATACATCCAAATGGAAGACCGGGCTGCCCTTCAGGTACAAGCAGATGGATGTTCCGGTGCGTCCAGCTCAGAAGATTTTCAAGTGTGCATACTGTCCTAAGACATCAACAATTAACAACATAATGCTTCATGTACGTCGTAAGCATGACAATATGCCTATAAAATTCCGTGAAGTTTCTGACCATGCGACGGAGGGTTGGGTATGTCAGTGGTGCAATGAATTCTGCGATTCTAAAAACAAAATGAAACATCATCACAATATGTTCCACTCGCATCTTCCATTACGTTTCAAGAAACACGATATGGAGGAATTGCGCAAGGGCTACAGCTGCCCTAGATGCAACTTCACTGCAGTCTCTGTGGGAGCCATGAAGAAACATGTCGCGAAGCACGTACATTCATATAAATGCAAACACTGCAACAAAACATTCAGTACCACTGGCAACGTAGTTGCTCACAGTACTGTGTCTCATGTCGGAATGGAGTTGAAAATTGAAAACGTGGTCAACTATGAGCAACTTGTTGACGAGCTCATGGAGAAGGTATTGCGACAGGACCCTGAGTCTATAGAGACGAGCACCAGTGAAACCGCTGCAATATCGCAGGAAGACAAACTATCCGAAGAGACGGAACGCTCCTCTCCAACCAAGAACAATTCGGTAGCCAAGAAATCTACGGCAAAACCTGCAGTTCGGGTGCATCCCATCCCGTGCACGATTAAATCGGTAGCGAGGAAGTCGACGAACCCATTGCCAAGATATCCACCAGGACTCAAATTCATCACGGAATTAGCGTCCCTTGAGACAGAGGATGACAGCAGCGATTCGACTGGCGCTTCGATGGATTCTTCGAAGCTGAAGCAATTTTCATATTATGGCGCCTCCACAAGTCCAGTTAACATGAGCCAGCTGAGCACTTATATGGTGGTCGGTGGGCATCGAATGAAAGTTAACTGCACCACTCTTGCACAATTGATAAACATAAATCCCAAAGTGGTAATCAAGGACCTTAAATGCGACTAAAGATTTGGCAGTTTTTAATAAGTGCAAGTAGGAGATGGACATGTGAAAATATGATCTAGTGTTATGGACGTGTCGAAGGATAATCTTAATCTCTTATGATGAGAAGTTGATGATTATTCATCCTGTGAACTTCAAACGATCAGCAGTATTTTTTTTTGTTTACTCGATTATCATTTATTATTTCAGTTTTAAACTCGATATATTCCCTTGTCACGAGTGACAGTCCTCGCGAGAGTAGAACATTATCGTTTTCGATAAACGTCGGTCGGATTTAAATGTCGAATTTTCGGTAGTCACGTCATATTTATAAATAGGGATAGCTTAGGTTTTCTATCTTGATAATTCTCATAAGCCCCCTCCCTCACCCCTCCTCCACTTTCCGGATAACGCTGTCACTCCTGTTAGTGTATCGCTACACTTTACACGTCTATATACGCATTCTAAAATAGCACCTCTTTTGCGATTAAATTAATTCTTTTGACATTTGCTCTCTCAAAATGAAAAAAGTATGGAACAGCACTTGAGTATCTATAATTCAATACAACCGATAGTCTAACCAGTCGGATAGTTCAATCAAAAGAATATTTAATGGGAATGAACAAATGTGCACATGTGTGGAATTTTCAAGAAATATTTCATAAACTATACTGGTTATGTATTTCTTAACTGACACGATTCTAATGATGACGTGTCACAAAGATCCGACATTATTTCGTTATAAGCTGTAGCAATACATTTTGAAGGCTTCTCGTTCTGCAAGCAACGTCTATACCATAATTGATTTATCATGGTCGACTTGTTGTTAATCACGAATAAGTTAGTCAGTCTTTAATTATCGACTAACATGAAATGATGAATTGTAATTTATTTGCACCGACTGAAATCAACACGTTCGGTTATAATTGCGACTACATATTTTAACGGAGAACAATTCCCAACCATTGATTCTCGTCCGGCAAAGATCAATAGGTATGCAAGTGCGATACGTGTGAAGTGTGACTCTGATATTCTGCTGTTGCTATTTTGATGAATGTGATATGTACAGTATATTACGAACAAGATGAGGCAGATATTTCTGAAAAGCATCCGAGCTCGGCCGAAGAATTATTAGGAAGTCGAAAGATGCGCCAGTAATCGTATAATTCAAAATCGTTTTGGAGGCTGAATTATCATACCATCTGTCGTTTCTGCACTTCCCGATATTCATATTTTATTTAAGTTATTGTTTTGTGAAGTGGCGCGCGAGGTTGAGTGACGGAAGTGTTTCGGTATGAAAAGACAAGACTGACGAGTGTCCTATTGTTGTAATTTAAAATTCAACATATAGTAGATCTTGGAAAACTGTATATACGCTGTATTATAAAACTTTAAATAAATATTTTTGATTTTTATAATTGTACTCCGTATTGAATTAGCGACTACAAAATACGAATCTGAGCAGAATTCGTGAAGTTTTTTATCCTGACTCACGCGTCCTAAGGGATTCTTGCCTTGCATATTAAGGGATCGTAGTTTCCTTCTGGATACGTAGGACTAGTCTATGGAAATAAGAGTGCAGGAACGTAGTTACGTATAAAATGACAGACGTGTTACAGTTCGTGTTGTTTCTGAAATAAAATTCACTCGGGACCTATTCGCGTTTTACTATGAAAGCACAAGAAAAGGAGAAAAGTTGAAGTGATCGCCGTGATCACAATTTCACCTCTGTGAGGACTTAATCGCTCAGAGAAGCTCAAAGTTTCAAGGCTGAAATACTATAGTAAAGTTTGATAATTGAAAACAATGTTATGTACAAAGTTTTGAACAATTATATTATTATAATCTTATTGTCATCTCATTTGCGGTGCGCAATACCGCTCGAGTACACATCTATAAGTAAGTATTGTACAAACAAAATACATATTTATAATAACAAGATATAAATTGACACTTATCGACTGATATTACATACATGTACACGCTTCACATTCGCACCGTTATTTAATAATTGGGGTTACTCAAGGGTTAAGTTACTCAAGCTTCTTAAGGATGACGAATACACGATATTAAATACAAAAATTACAGCTATACACGCATGCGCGTTGCCTTGATTCGCACGCAGCTCCTCAAGTCTCTCTTATTCGTTATTATCTAGCGAACACCTCATTTCTGTTCTCTGTCGTACAACTTGCACTTAATTGCTTTATTATTTCTCCCTTCCATCGGTCAAAAACCTTCACTGACATTACGGTATTCGGAAAAAGTTCATTTACATTATAACTACAACCAATGAGGCCGACTCTGTGTCTACGTCAGGCGTGCCAACACGTAAGTGACTTTCGAAAATGGCGCGCTTTGTTACGGGGACTATGTGAAAAAAAAAAATGAATGGATTCTCGCGTTACATATGAGCCTATCGAGAAGTGCCAAAGTAACGATCATTCATTGGCTAATCGCAACTCCAGGACTCTCGTTGTATTCGTCGCCCGTTTTTATCAGTTTACTTTACTCGTTTACCCCGGCCATCCTGTTCGCGCCGTTCACCTCGTGTACACCGGTTATAATGAGAAACACCCTCGTTTTGTGATATACCGACGAACGCACAGCGAATACAACTCGCGTTCCCGTGAAAACAGACATGATTATTTCTCTCGCTCTCTCTTTTTATTATTTGTGTTCGTCACGACGACTTCATTCTAGTCGAGCACCGAGAAATATCGTCGTTCGTTGCTGAGCCTGTTAGAGTCCAACGGATCAAAATCCGTTCGTCGTAACTAATCGGAGTTCACACCCGGAGTCACTGGCCCTCGCTGTCGCTGTCGCTTTTATCTATAAAAAAAAAGTTCGCGTGTCTCGTCGTTTCTCATTCAAGAGTTGAGGGTCGCTTCACCGTAAGGGTTGAATGAGCGGGACGAACCTTTCTTTCCGGGATAAGCGTGGCGCTTCAGTCTGTCGTAGAGATCATCCTTAGTGCCGTAGATGCTGGCATTGGAGCGAGCAAGACTGTTCATCTTGCCGCCATTGTGAAGACTCTCTGCAATAATTCGTAATCGATTAATAAGAAAAAGTACACTAATATAGCGTTTCTGGCATGAGGATCAGAATCACACACCCTTCATGTAGGTTTCATTGTAGAAGTTCGGCATCTCCCAACCATCCTCTTCGTCGTCATAGTAATGAGCGTAGGTACTATGATGGGAAGGTGCAATGGATTCTGCGTATGGCGTCGGCGCACCGTAGTAGAAATTTACTTGAGAACCATTTTGATCTGTTGCTGGGGTCAGCATCTTCTTTGGTTCCTTCTTGCGCGAGGATCTGAACACAGTGAACGTATGAGAATACGTGGAGCCCTACTAGATTAAGTATACTGAGAACGCAGTAGTGAAGACCTACCTGACACAAATCATCCAAACAAGGAGAACGACGATGATAATCAGGATGACACCTCCAGCAATTCCACCAGTGATGTAGAAGAACTCGGACTTTTCGGTACAGTGCTTGCCAGTGAAGCTTCCACTGCACCTGCAAGATGGCTGTCCCCTGGAGTCTTTAATGCAGACACCCTCGTTGTCGCAGTAACTCTTGCAGACGTCAATACATTCTTTTCCGGTTCCGTTATATCCTGGTTTGCACTCGCACTTGAAGTCACTGGTTTCGGGAATCAAAAGGCAGTACGCATTTGCATCGCAGTGCATCTCCTCTCCATTCATTTCGCAGGGATTGGTGCATTCGCCCTTACTTGTCTACAATAAAGAAATCGTGCCGTCTCGATAAGACATTCCCAGGATGACTGTTAAATCGTTCGTTCAGAAGAATCTACACTTACTGCAGCCGGACCCTTGGTGCTGGTGTTCGGCGGACACGGGATACAGGAAGTCTGCTGCGATTCCGATTGATACGTTCCCTTTTTACATTCCAGGCATTCGTTTAGGGTTCCATTGAGGTAAGTGCCAGGAACGCAGACGGGGAGGGAGCATTCCTCGATCGCAGCAGAACCCATGTTGGGTGTTGTCCTACCAAGAGGACAAGCCTGGCAGGAGGCCTGCACACCCTGGGTACGGTAGGTACCTCTTGGGCAGGGTTCGCATTTTCCCTCAACTGCCAATTGCTGACCGGAACCGCATTCGTCGCGACATTCCTCCCGAGACACAGCTTCCGCTGTCCTGGTGGTTTTACCCAGGCCGCACAGTTTGCAAGAGAAGCTACCTTCGCTGGGCTGGTAGAATCCGTGGCCGCAGCTGCGACAGAGGCCGTCGTCGTCGTCGTAGTACTTTCCAGCTGGACAGCGTTCCTTGCAGTCGGCAGCACTTCGTGCACCGGGTCCTATGGTGACGCTGGGTCGTCCAGCGATCACTGGGCAGGAACTGCAGCGCAGCTGACCTGACTCGCTCTGGTAAGTGCCGACCGGACAAGAGACACAGCTCTTGCTCGTCCCGTCGTAATAAGTGCCAACGGCACAGGGTACTGCAAAGCGAAGAACGTTAATCGTTAAAGAAAGATAGGAATTCGTGAATTTAACAATAAATTGTTTTTCACTAACCACAATCAGGAGCCATCACGACTTGTCCCACTGGGCATGCATAGTCGGATTCCAGGATCAGAGATGCAGGATCCGGTACAGTGTTCGGCAGGATGTCATGAACGTCGAATTGGTCCTCCTCCAGAATCAGCCTCTCCAGCAATGTCTGAACGTTGGCTCTCTCGTTCGAATTCGTGTTGACGATCGGATCGCTACAAGTATTTTCAAAATATTACTCAGAATTTCTCTGTGGGTTTAAGTTGGAGGCATGCGCGATTTCAGCGCAAATATATATACAGCGGGTTTTCAGCAATTCCACCGGACCCTCCTCAGGATGAGCTAATTACCAAATTATGTCTGTTAACGATGTAATCTTTGTTGGTATATAAGTGGTTAAACAGTTATTTAATATTTCGGATAAATGGCAGTTGATACATGGACTTAAGGTAATTATGTATCTGGACAAAATGATCACAGCATACTCATGCCTGCATGAATGATTAAAAAAAAGTACACTCTTAATTCCTATAACAATGAGACGTTGTGTCTGACTATTTTGAGTAATTAATCATGCGAGTCCGTCAATAATTAGATGAGGGAGCTACAATAGTTTTATACATATATTTCGATATCTGGTTAGAGTTAACTTCCAGACATACTGATTTCTGTGATTCCCAGGATTAGCAGTCTTTCTATATTGGCAGGTCAGTAGATACGCTGTTAGTAAGACGTGCGTGTTGAGCAATGTTATATTGTTAAATTTTGAAACATCCCGGCGCAACATGCTGTCAATGGAGAAGCCACTTTGGCCCACCGACTTTTTTCGCCACAATAAGCAGATTTTCATCTCTGGTTAGCAGGAGAATGTGATCAGAACACGTACGAACCACACGTATTCGTATTCTAATGATAACGAATGGTGATTAAGGATATGATTTGGTAATGATCTGGAGGTCGTGAGAGGTCTTACTTTATCGCCGGGAACGAAATCTCCACTTCGTAGGTATCGCTGCCTTGGCGTGCTTGTCTCGTTCTACGATGTAAAATAAGTGACACATGCTCAGTTCTCGCTACATGAGAATATACCTGGACTACTACCGATAGAGAAAGGTTCAAATTTTATAAGACGTAACGACAGATCGATCAATTAAACGGATCTGGAAGATTGAGAATCCCATGGAACGAAGTTGAGTCGCCAAGAGTCGAAATTCATTAAACGTAGAGTTACGTGTTGTATTCATAAGGCTTACGAAAAAAGAATTTTCAAGTATTTCAGATTTAATACTTACGCCTCTGCTGGTACAGCTGCAGAAATTATGTAGGTGCCGCCATCCTCGTCTTTGGTTTCCCGAGTGGTACGAACACGATGATCACATTGAACGTCAATACTTAGATCCTTGCATTCTCGTGTACCTGAAATTCGTTATTTGTACAAAGGGCTAACTATGAATATCAACGTACAAAGCAGAGTTAATAAAATTTACCTTCGAAAGAGTAAGAGCAAAAGTTCCAGTCTCTGTTTAAGGAGTTCACGGCATTGCGGACCTTCTGTTTCAGGACTCCTTGCCCAGCTTCGTTGCAGAGTACTGAAGTCGGGAAGTTCATCTTGATCTTGAAGACACGCTGAGCTGGTATAGCACCTGCGACACAGCAAAACACAGACGTTTGATGTTTGCTCAAATGGACTGTTGTAACGATTTCTCGTCCTTAATATATTATACTTGTACTAACTCGTGCAGGCGGGATAGACCAGCGGTAAGGAAGGATCGGTAGTCGGTCGCCAGAAACCCTCAGCACCACAAGTGTAGAACTTGGGAACCTCTTGTGAAAATCGTAGACCCGTGTTGCAGAATATTTCACAAACTTTGAACTGACCCCCTGAACCCCAGTCCTTGCATTGTTGCGATCCGCCTATGGGATCAGCCAGTTCCGGACAAAATTCAGCTGGAACAACAGAGAATGTGAATACAGTAAACTGAAACTTGAAGTCAAAGGGTATTTTCGAAATAATGCTTACAAAGAACGTAGACTTTGAAGTTGCAGCTTGCAGAGTTTCCTGCCTGATCATAGGCGACGTAGCTAATGTCATATGTACCCCAGAGCAAAGTCTGACCAGACCTGTGACCGTTCTTTTCCTGTATCTTAGTTACACCTACATTGTCACTGAAGTGAGGCTCGTCCCAAGTAACAATGGAAGATCCATTCTTGGCGATGACCCAGAGGTCACCAGGGCAGTGCTCGACTTTTGGAGGCACCTTATCAGTCTCCAACTGTTGACACTTGTTACCGCTGTAACCAGCGGGACATATTCTCTGTCCGCAATGCGAAGGGACGACCCTCTCGACACCGCCAATAGTATCGTCGTATCCTGCCCATGTCAAGATAAGACCTTGGTAAAGTACAGGTTCCGTACGACAATCGCGCACTTGCTTCTGAATCTCATTGGTCACGTGAAGGGCTCTACTCCACACCTGGACCTTGGTCAAGTGTCCTTGGAATCCGGATTCAGTGTAGCCCTTGACATTTTCAGTTCTTGGTTTTCCAAGGACAGCCCATCCGCTGGAATTATGACAATTATAAAAGATTGGAAAACAAAGCTAGAGAACATTTTTCAAAAAAAGTTAGAAATATATGTACTAGGATGGAAGACTCCTGCCACTGGCATATCCTTCTGTTTTGCTGGCGATCAAGCCTTCCGTTATCAGTATAAGTTCACCGGCGTTATCGCCGTTCCAAACGACTGCAACATGGTGCCACTGGCCGTCGTTAATCGTGGCGTACTCTCTAAATGGCAGGTAGACGTCTTGGAAGTCAGGGAAGAGAGACACCTGGACGCCATTGCTGTGGGCCTGGATCAATGGTCTGCGATTCGTCGGTACATGTGGAGAGCTAATGGAAAAATCGATATTCTATACGACTGCGTTTAAAGTTCATTAGAAAAATTCTCGGTAAAAGACGTACCTGACGCTGTACAGAGTAAAGAAGATGCCTGCTTCATCTTTTTGAGTGAACTGAACCCACATGGCAATGGTCAGACTTTTTCCTGCACCCGTGAAGAATGGAATAACCTGAGATGCGCTGCTACGAGTTGGATCACTGAAGTAAAGATCGTAGTCCACTTGAATGGCTACAATGAAAAACAATTATGTATTATAGGGTCATCTACATATGATGATACGACTTTACGACACAGCTAGATATAAAGGACTGTTAACGTACTTTTTCTACAGTCGTCGCCAGTCAAGTTGAATGGGCATTGGCAGAAGAATTTTCCAGTGAGATCGATGCAAGTAGCCGATGGTGGACAGGAGTTCTCTTTGCAGTCAATTATGTCATCCTCGCAGTTCTTACCGGTATAACCAGGAGGACAAACGCAGGTGAAACCTGCACCATTATCTATGCAGGTCGCTCCATTTTTGCAGGCACCGGCTAGACACGCATCGTACTCATACTGACATCCTATGCCAGTATAATCTTCGGGACACGAGCAGTTGAGACCAGACCCAAAGTCTTGGCAGCGGCCGTTGTGCATGCAAGGATTGCCAATGCAACGCTCAGGTGCGGTCTCGCACTGTTTGCCATCAGTTCCAGAGGGACATCTGGGCAGCACAAAAAATACAGTGAAACAAGTAAAGAATATAAACCTTAATTGGCTTCGAATGGATATAATCCAGGGAAACTCTAGTGATTACTTACACACAGAAGTAATCCTGGAAGAGGTCGATACAATTAGCGTCATTCTGGCAGGGTCTATTTTGACAGGCGCCAATGTCAGTCTCACAATGTACTCCCGTCCATCCTTGAAGACAGGAGCATTTGAAGCCACCGACTTCATCCCTACAAGTTGCGCCGTTCAGACAAGGATTCGAGGTACAATCGTCAATGTTGACTTCGCAGGCAGTTCCAGTATAGCCCTCACGACAGTGGCAGACATATTTGTTATCTAGGTCGACGCACCGATCGGTGCCAACTGGATTGCAAGGGTCACTGAGGCACTCGTCAATCTCAGCTTCGCACTGAAGACCAACAAATCCAGGCCTGCACTTGCAGACAAAACCATCCAATTGATCGACGCATGAGCCCCCATTCTGACAAGGTTCGGATGCGCAATCATCTATGGTGTGCTGACATTGTTTGCCGGTGTAACCAGGTTCGCACGTGCAAGTATAGTCGTCGACGCCGTCGATGCACTGTCCATTATTCTTACAAGGTTTGCTGGCACATTCATTGATATTGGTCTCACATGCTGCACCTCCCCAGCCAGGATGGCATATGCACTCGTGACTGAAGAGATTGTCTACACAGATGCCATTCAAGCAGGGATTACCGGAACAAAGGTCAATTTTCTCGTGACAGCGTTTCCCAGTAAACCCTGGAGGGCAATCGCAGCTGAAATCTGCTACAAGATCGGTGCAATTTGCCCCGAGGAGGCAAGGCCTCTCGGCGCAGTCATCCGTGTTGATCTCGCAACTCTGTCCTTCCCATCCTGGTAAACATTCGCACTTATATCTGCCCTGCTGCAGTGCCATGCAGGTAGCTCCATTGCTGCAAGGATTGCCGTTCGCCGTGCAAGGATTTATCTGAAAAAAAAATTGTATTTGTATCATCTAACTCAACGAATTTATGTGGAAAGTTGTTTATCCATGTTTTTCTTACAGTAATATCACAATCGACGCCTGTATATCCAGACCTGCATAAGCAAGTGTAATTGTTGAAGCCGGGTTCGTCCTTGCACATAGCGCGTTCTGGACAGGTATCGTTCCTACAGTCGGATTTCTCTTCCTGGCAATTGATGCCAGAGTAGCCATTGGCACATTGGCACCGGTAACCCTGAGGAAGGTCAATACAAGTGGCGCCATTGTAGCAAGGCTGGGATGCACACTCGTTGATGTCGATTTCGCAACGACGTCCGGAAAATCCAGCAGGACAGAAGCACTGTACCCCATGGCCCATTGGCACGCAAAGGCCACCGTGCTGACATGCACTGTCAGTGCATTGAACAGGCTTACATTCTTCGCGACCAACCGCACCAGGTCCGTCAGTGTACATGTTGGTAGGACATTCCAAGCATGTCACGGCACCATGTTGAGGTTGATAAAAGTCCTTGGGGCACTGTGCGCAAGGTGCCAGTCCCGTATCGGAGTACATGCCCGGAGCACACTTGGGTCGGCAACGATCTCTACCTGGCGCTGCTGGTTGGTACGTGAATGTTCCCGCAGGACATGTCTGACAATCTTTATATCCGCCAGTCGGTGGTTCCCCGGTGTAGCTGTTACGTGGACACTCCAGACACGGTACTAGACCTGTAGGGGAATATGTACCGTAACCACAGACCGGAATGCAGTCATCGATGCTCTTGGAACCTTCTTCTTTGGTGTAGGTTCCAAATGGACAGCGTAGGCATGCACCCTGACGGTCGCTATTCTGATAGAATCCCTTGGGACAGTAGGTACACTGCTTCTGTTTCTCGCCAGCGAACGTTCCAGCGGGACAGTGCACTGCAAGGAACAGAGGACCATGGAATTCGGTTACGAAGAATAAATCAATAATTTCATATTGAATAGCTTTGACTTACAGCAACGTGGAACATCGTTAGTATCCATGTTAAGAACTTCACCGACACTGCAAGTAAATCCTCGCGTAATCGATGACTTCAAAGCTCGTAAAGGAGGACATTGATTTCCAATAGCAGACACGTTTAGCAAAGGTCCGATTGCGGCACTGGCGTAGGGTACAGACAGGTCGAAGATCAAGTTCAGAGTAGAACCGCAAAGATTGTACAATTGTGGTTGCCGCACGGCGGGAACAATTGCTAGGACAAAGTCCATCTGTAAACAATTAAATCAGGAGATCATTTATTTATAATCTCTCCAATTTTCTCAGATTCCTGCCCGAATTGATATGAATCTTTCGTATACCTTGAGAACGTTTTCTTCGACGAGAGATGGCATCGATCGTACAAATGTAACGTTCATTGGAACATTGACGGCAGAACAACGTTGGGTCAGGATTCCATTGAGGCTGATGTAGTACTGTGACATTAAGTCTTGGTACTGGGGTAGACAAGTCTGAGTGACAGCACCGTTGGCACGGTACGTCACCGAGGCGACGACATGGTAATCAGCTTGTTGCGTGTCTGTATTGTAATGTCACAAAGATAACCAACGTTCTTTACTTAAATGACGAAGGCAATCAGTTCAAAGAAATGAGTACTGCAATTCACTTACTCTCGGATACGCAGTCGGGTACCACTGACGTTGGCATCCAGTGCTTTTTGGCATCACACGCGAAAGTCTTGACAGGTGCACCGTCGGTGAACCTAAATCCAGCTTTGCATGTGGCGATACACTGAATTCCTTTGTCACCAGGTAGACAGTTCAGAGCACCGTGTGCTGGCGGTTTCAGTTCCCAATCGACGCACGGCGTCGCTTGCACAGACACTTGGAAGTGGCAGGACGCTCGATTTCCGGAAGAGTCAGTAGCGTATACCGTCACGTTTTCAAATCCGCCGATGGGAATAATTGCGCGTTCTGGTACGAAAACGATCTTAACGGGACCAGATGCGTCTGTCGCATTGATCCGTCGACGTGTCTCATTGAAGTTCACTGAGTAGCTTTCCTGACGGTCGACGAGCTCAATCACGTAGCTCTGAGGGCAGCTCAATTTGGGTGGAGTTACATCTGCAAAAGGCAATACCGTTAATTTCAAAGACAGGCATGGATTTCATCCAACGGATTGTGTAATTCGATGGGTGCCTATTGTATAAGTACGTACCAGGAACAGTAATGTTGATTTCACAGATGGCAACGTTACCATCGTAGTCAAAGGCCACGTACTTGACCAGGGTATCTTCAAAGACACGCACAGGTGTCTTGAAACTTTGTGGTTTGACCTCAAGGCGAGCTATGCTACCGCTATTGTCAATGGCAGTGGGTTCAGTAAAGTTAACTGCCAGTAAACCACCATCCGCATCCTTCTGCACGATGATCGGTTGTTGTGGACAATTTTGAAAGACTGGCGGCTCATTGTCAACGCAGGGTGAATATCCGTAATCGTATCCAAGAAGAGACTCTGAGGCGGGCTCTTCGCAGCCCATCAGTTCAAACTTGAGGCAGGCGTTGTCCATGTAGCTAACGATACCTAGGATGACGAACCTGGCTTGTACATACTTCGGTAGAGTGATCATAGCAAGCTCGCCATAGTTTCCTGGGTCACGCATTGTCAGATTGAAGTTAGGGAAGTAGACAACGTAGTTTTCGCTTTCAGCTTGCTTATAAAAGAAACGAATTTCCGTTGGTCGGCCAACAATGTCATTGGTTACTACACCCTTCACTAATATGGCCTTGACTCTGTACACCTGGCCAAGATCAACGCTCACGTAGGTAAACGCTTCCTGCTTGCCGCACCATCCTGTCACAGAGTTCAGTCTGACGTTCTTTGCTTCATAATTAGGTCGCTCGGATGTCGCGTTAATAGCCGAGTCGGGAATACGTCCCGAGGCAAGTCCTAAAGGTTTCACGACCTTGCATTCCGGTTCGCGAACGCAGGCAATTGGTCGTGGATTTATTAAGATGTAACCAGGTCGATTGCAGCCAAATTGGACTTCTGATCCTTGCTCATAGCTACGAGCTACTTGGTATCCATCACTAGGTCTTCCAGGATCCTCACATACTGGACCCTCACAGCGGAGATTCCCAAAGTCCCAGACACCATTCGCTTGACAGCGTACCACGTTGTCATGACGATTAGTTTGACCTGCTAGCTTGAAGGTATCCTGACATCCGAAGAAGAACGATGACTGATACTTGGTGTCCACGTACTGACCGTACTCTGCACCAGGAGTCGGCAATGGTTTCCCACAGTCGACGCGTGGACAGGCTGGCTGTAGACCAGACAGCCAGTAATCGGGCAATCCTGATTTTGGGTCGTAAACGCATTGTCGGAAATTGGAAGTCGCTGTGTTTCGCAATAGGCGTCCATTGTTACCGCAGGTCAGAGTCACGTTTTCCTTGAAAGGTACCAGGACACTTGCCTCATCCGATCGGATTACCGACAGACCTTCATTCTTATCATCAGGAAGTGACACGCATTTCGCATCTACAGAAATTGAAATAGTCAGCATTAGATTATAAAATTAAGAAAAATTGTTTGATGCGCTGTTAATGGCGCGCCTTACACTGGCACACAGGTGTTGTTCCGTTCCATGTACCGCTAGAGGTGCAGACGATGGACGATGATCCTGACAGTACATAACCAAAGTTACACTGGAATCTCACGAGGTCTCCAAAGTGATACTGCGACTGTGGAAGAAAATGCACATCGCATTAGTTTATCAGAAAAATCAATAGACACGAAGATTTATCTACCTTGGTCGAAAGGACTTTTCCATTTTCAGGAGCCAATATAGCCGGACACATCACGGGTACACATGTTTTGTTCTTTTGGTACAGGTCGCCATCGCGTTCACCAGATTCTGCTTTTTCAATGTAGTATCCGGCAGTGCCATTTCCTTTATATAACTCGAATCCAGTATTGCACATGCAGGAGTAGCTACCAGGATTGTTGACGCATTTCTGATGACAGCCGCCATTTTTAACGGCACATTCATTAATGTCGCTACATTCTAACCGGGTGCATCCCATAATTTCAAGTTTTATACAGGGCGCGCCGACGTAATCTTGAATGCGGAATCTTATGTACTTTGCTTCGATTGGAACAGGTAAGTTCAGCACGGATAGAGTCGGTTCCAAAATTCTGAACTCCACGGGAGTGCCATCAGGATTTGTATAGTCCTTAAAAGTGTCGGTCAGATCGTCTGTATATTGAATTCGCACTGCGGATGTGAATGCGATGTTTCCATCAATGCGTCCAACGCTTTGAGTCCTGAATCCACGTATAATTGTAGGTGCCTTCATGTCAATCATTGCCCAATTGGTGCCGGGTTCTATACTGTTACCGCACCAGCCATCACCGCTATTCAACCGGATGCCCTACAGGAAGAAAATGTATTTTCTGAATAGAGTCAGGGACATCTGTTTCTCTATGCTCCTTTCCTTGTGATTTATATCTTAGAATAGAAAATTTCTTAGAAACTTGTTTCTCCACTTACAGCTTTCGAGTATCCATATTCTGAACTTGAAACTGTGATCGATTCGTCAGGAATACCGCCATTGATGAGTCCCAGATCGCCTACTGGACGACATTCCATAGCAGGAGTGAAACCAGACTTACATTTGCACGTGAATGCACCGGGTGTGTTGATGCATTCAGTGGATGCTAAATCACACTGACTAGATGCGCATTCGTTGATGTCTATAAGAAAACGATTGCGTCAAAAAAAGAAAATACATAAAAGTATGAATTTTCTTACCTTCGCAGGAGGGAACATTATCAAATCTTTGATTGGGACCGCATTCAATAATATTGGAACCAGTAAGCTTATAGCCCTTATTACATTGAACACGGACCTCATCGCCGAAGTAGTAATCTTTTGTCATATCAACGACAAATCCATTTTTTATCGTAGGTAGAGTAGGACACGCAGCTCCTGTTATTCCAAATAATTGTGAACCTCTTGCTCAACTCCAATGTCTATGAATATTTGCGTTCAATACTTACGGGAACACGTTGGCACATCGTCGGACCAGGTGCCATTGCTCATACAGAGGATAACTGGATGTCCACTTCTTACATAACCGAGTTCACACTCGAATCTGACGATGGTACCGTAGCTGCGACCGCCACCATTCAAAATCGTCATGTTCGCATGTGGCGCTTCAGGAAGTGGTGCACATTGGGAAGCTACGCAATCAGAAGGTCATTGATAAGAATTCAATGGATAATGTATATCTATATATTATAAAAACATTTTTGCCAGTGCATACCAAGGCACGATGGTTTTTTCTCCCATCTTCCATCAGCCAGACAAGAAATCTTCTCCGTAGGACGACCGGAGGGGAATGCAAAACCAGCATAACACTGATAAGTCGCTAAGCCATGATAAGTCACATTCGTAGAACCGATGGAAAATCCGTTATCAATCTGAGGAACCGGTCCGCAGTAAACTTCTTGACATTTCGGTATGTAGGTGATGGACCAATTTCCGCCAGGTAGACACTCAGTGACGATTTTTGCTTTTCCTGTCGCGAATTCCTGTCCCAAAGGACAAGAGAACGTAACGACTGTCCCGAAGGCAGTGTCCCTGCTGGAAGCTAGTGCACCTTCTCCAGGTTGCAGAGCAGGACAATCTAAATCGCAAAATGCCTGGTCAAATGTCATCATGGTAAAAGTGATCCTGCCAATTGAACAGAAAGACAGTTTACCTGCTGAAAACGCCGCTTGCCACCCCGTGCTACTGTGCAGGGCGTCAGAAACAAATCTGATGAGCATCTCACCGCTCTCCGCTGTTAGGGTTATCTTTGGTCGAGTGTTTGACGTAAAACCGTTACCGGCATGCAGACGGAGTCCATTGGCATTGGGACCGTCATAAACCTTTAAAATTAGTACGCGTTACGTTACTTCTGGTTTTCCAGGATGAATGGATATTGTGATAGCGCAGTTCAAGAAGTTAATTTACCTGGACGACATCTGTCTTATGAACGTTGAAGTTAACGAATTTTAGAGAGAGGGCAGTCCCTTGCGGATTCTTCACCCTGAAGAGGCACTCTTGGTTATTTGGATAGTCGTTTAATCCATAAGATGGTGACTGCACTGTTCCGTTCCTTGCAGTAATGCTGGCCTTGCAGCCCTGAGTGTAACGGATGCTAAAACCACGACGAGAATCACCCAAACTCGTCTTGAAGTAGAGATACAACTGACTCCCGGTGGATACAATGACAGCTGGATTATCTTCGGATTTTCCGGATAGACGCGCTACAGGTCGGCTCATCGGGGAATCTCCGTCCCTCACAAGAATGTAGTCCCTGTTGATTTCAAGATCCAGGTCTTCAATCTAAAAGAATATACAACAAGAGATCAAATTAACGAAACGCGACGACAATTGTATTTTGATTCGTTCTGCCTTGTTGAATGTTCTTCAGCAGTGTGCTTCAGTTGGTACACACCTCTAGGGATATTATTCTGCCAGGCTGAGCCTCAAGTATGTAAAGACACTCCAAGCCCCCAGGATAATTCTGCGGATATCCTGGTGAAGTGAGAACCTGACCCTGCGGAGTAGCCCGCAGGACGCCACCGCACGTTTGCGGTTCCGTTTTCCACGAGGCTCGGAAGCCCTTCCTCTCAACAGAACCGTCCGTGCTAAACTTGACGATCATAAAGTTGGAGGCTGAGACAAAGAGCTTGCTGCTTAGTTCCTGTTTACCGGAGAGGGTAGCCAAGTTCACTGATTTGTCCTCCGTTCGTCCTCCAACCAGGATCTGAACGATGTCGAAGCTTTTTTCGGTCTCGAATTCTTGAAACTGAAATTTCAGGGCAACACTTGAAAAATATTCAAAGAAACGATAAAGTCCGATGTGGAACCGTGTCAGTCGGGAAAAAAAAATCTTTAAATACCTGTAGAAGAATATTGTGACCCTGAGGTCCTTCCAAGGTCCATTTGCAATTACTTAGTGGAGCATATTTGTGAGGATAATTCGGACTTTCGACCACGTCGCCACTGCTGGCCATGTAAAACTGGCAATTGGAAGGACAATCCAGTTCATCCGACGAGTCGCCACAGTCGTCTTGCTTGTCGCACTTGAAGGCAGCGTTGATACATCTGCCATTGGAGCAATGGAAGGAGCCTGTTGGGAGATAACGAGGCATCATAAATTATACTTAAAAGATAAAAGCAAGACGCAACAAAAAGAATAAGGATATGGGACACAGCAGTGGACGCAGGTAAAAACTTTGAAACGTCGAACGGTAAGACCAACCTGCTGGGCAGGCATCGGCGCGACACATAAATGGCAGAAGTGATTCGCACGTGGTCAGTTCCCAGGATTGCTGTTCCTCGGTGAAGGTGACGTCGACGCATTCACCGGATCTCGGATTCGGTTGCTTCGAAGCCCAAAAACCTATAATCGGACACAGAAGCATTATTGCAAAGATGGGATTTTCAGTCGATCCAAAGTCTTCGGACCGACTATTACGTATGTAAATGCCACGTCGTCGCGCGACTACTGCAATTGAAACTACAATTCCACTGGTATAAGGTACGCATCCTGATTCGGTATTCTCGATGGAAAAGTGTGTCTTTGTGCCGTGTGCGAGTTCCGCGTTTCCGCGACCTCGATTCCATCCCGAGACTTACTTTGCGCTTGCGTGTGTACACTTTCAGTACAAACATTTCCCCGTCTCTGGTGCTACCAATTTTAATATTTGTTTTATCTTCTTACCGGCGTACTGGGAGACCAGCATGCCTGCCGCTGACTCCAGGGTATTGGTTCGCAGATCGTCCAGAGAGGCCAAACCCAGCCAATAGCGATTGGAGTATCGGCCGATCATGCTGGCAGTCATGTTGTTTTCTCCATAAGTTTCTACAACCATCAACTCGCTGCCGTACCTGAGACACAATTTTATTAATTTCCAATTATTTTGCCGTTATTCCACGTCCCTTTTCACGAGTCCTGTGTCTCCTCTTGCTTAGCCAATATTCTTAGGAACAATAGGAAGCACATGAACAATAGGAATACTCGTGTATCGTGGCTGTCATTTGAAAATTAAAAATTTCAACTAGACGTAAATGATCATTCGCCAAGGTCGCGTCATGTTCGTCGGTAAGTAGTGACGTCACCAGTGCTTCTCAAAGGTGAAGTTCAACAAGGAAGTCGAGTGTTCAAGGGGAACGCGGTTTGTCGAAAGCACCCGGGATGAGTGACCTCCATCTTACCGTGTGCCGTCCATACAAGAATGGACAATTTTCTAACGGATCCGCCTAAATTTCTCCACTCTCGTTTGATGGACTCGATAAAAAGTAATTTCCAAGACAATGAAGGAGAGACAAATAGATTTATCGAAGCACTTACCTCCTGCATAGCTCGGCAGCCTTCTCCCACGAGTGCCTGATGTTGAAGAACTTGTAACAGTGAATCCCTCGTAGCTCCCAACCTGGTAGGATAAACAGTTTTTGAGGGTAAGTTTATGCGGGACTTGAAGAAATGGACTTAGTAAGTAAATCCGTGCACGACGAAAGGCGGCTGAGAGTCTTCGACGAGCAGTTGACCTATTCGGGTTTGATGGACGTGCAGACGTTCGACCCCAATTCTTTTTGCTACGTGGGAATTGCAGTCGCGCTGAGCGAATGAAGCTCACGAGGATGACGTCGAGTGAAAGAGCCGCCGCCGCGGTGCTGACAGCGAATGAGCCAAGTCCGGATGAACGGGCTCAACGGGCTCAACGGGCTCAACGGGTTGTATCACAGCTGCTGACGGGCTGGGTATGTCGGTTTGTCGGTTTGCCGGTTTACCAGTACTTGGCAGCCGGTACTCGGTCTTCGTTCCGTTTCCGAGAAGGTTATCCGTGTCACGAGCCATCGACTTTAAGTAAACCACCCTACTCGACGCGATACTCTACTCTACTTCCACTTGCGCAATTCTCTTAATGTCACCACGAATCGAGATCCATGGCTAACCTGTCATTTTCAGTTTTACTATCTCTTTAGAATTCAGTTTGTCTTTTAAAGATGGAAAATGTAAAACTCCGCTCATTTTTGACGTTCGCAAGGCCTACGAGCGAGGCGAATCCAATAAAGAGCGGGATAACGGTATCCGATATTCGTGGTAGGAATTCGTGCGAATTCCCATGTATTTCCCATGTACACGTATCCGTATACAAATGTACCTATACGCGTGGCGCACCTATCGCAAATACCGTGGGCGCCTGCCTTGTCTCGTTTCCTTCGTCGTGTCATTGCGCGCGTGTACGATCATCCGTGAAAAAGATTCGTTACGAGTAATTTCAACAATTTCACGGAGTTACATGCGCGAATGCACGATCGAGGTGTAAAAAGCGTAATCGACGTAGCTTCGTAACACATGACGTATTTAAAGAAAAGTAAATCCAGAGTCCCAGTAGTTGAATTTTATTGTACTGTTGAATAACATGCGGGAACATGATGCGTAAATGCGGTTACTCTTATCTCGATGAACATAAGAGTGTACAATGAAGATTGGTAACGTATACCAGGATCGGGATCAGTGAATCTGGAAAGCAGGTGTCTGCAGCCACAAGTATACACGCAAGGGACCTGGTGCTGCAAAGAGTACTGGCCAGAAGTTTTCTTCTCGCAAAAGGTCAAACGAGCACCGTCATCGATACTTTCACTTCTCTCATGGATGCTTTGTCGTGTTTCGTATTATTACGTGGTAGACCTGGTGGACTTTATGGACTTGGTAGACTCGGTGGATAAGGCAAGTATCGGGAATTTACCAGGCGATCCTGAAGCCCCGTTACGCGTCACGGCGCAAGTGCTTTCCTCAAGAGACGAGCCGAAGGACCCCGAGCCCAACCGAGCCCAACCGAGTCCAACCGAGTCCAACCGAGCCCAACCGAGACGCTACGAGTCTACCGTAGCACGTGTATCGCCTCTGAGTTCGACGGGAGCTCCTGCCCGAAGAAAACCTGAGACAGGACCGACAGCACGGACATCCACGAGCCCGGATAGTCATCTTGCCAAGATATTCCAACTAATAGAGGATAATGCGATACGTCCCGTTCGACGGGATCGTGTGGTTGTTGTGCGAATATATATTTTTAGGATCGGTCGTATAGCGATGCAGTGAGAACCCGACTCATCGTGTAGGAATGCCGTCGTGTCCTCCTGCCCTCTTTCCCCTCCGGGGCTTCGTCCCGTATCTACCGTCTCTTTCGTTATTCTCATTCGATGCCGGCTCTTAGCTATTCTCTTGTTTATCACGCGATAACATGCCTTGAGAGAAATCCACGGTTTTTCATTTCATTTTTATTTTAAGCTCAAAGCAGATGAACACGCCTATTGTGTTACTATGAATACGTGGGTATGCGTAATCCTTGATTTCATTGTGAAAATACGACAGAAAATTATGTGGGTGCTAATCGTATGTTTATAAAACCGTACCATATGCAGGTTACGCGCCCGTCTACTCAGGCGGTATGACTTTTTTCCCGTTTTTCGATAACAGCGCGGCGCGGCGGCACTCGACCTGGAGCATCCCGTTAGTTAATCACGTGCCTTTTTTTACCCAAATAGAACCAGCCTTATCATGCGCTCGAGGAATGCGTTACCGGCAAACCATTACAGGATAAATGTGATTTGCAGTTGGTTGCACTCAAGTGGCACAGATAAAATAAAGAAAGTCGCCTACAAGCATTCAAATGACTGAGCGGTACAAGAGATACAAGAGACGCAGAGATAAGCTGCTATGAACTTTATCCGTTACGTTCCCTCAGTTTCCTATCGTCCCTGAAGTTTATGTCACGAGCGTGACCCATTTGAGATTTATTATTTTCTCGAGATTCCACAGCTGAGAGGAAATACCGAAACTCGCGACTCAAGGAGCGTGACCTCCACTACAAACTGCAGTACACGTTATCAAAGTTCCAAGACGCTATTTCACCCAGTGTCACCGGTTTCACTGATCAGTGATATCCGTGTCATCTTTCAAACGCTATTAGGGAACTGCAGGAATGCACTATTGGACTGAAACCTGCTGTCCGAAATTCAATTGTCGTTTATCCTGCCGGTGGATGGGCTGACTTCGTTTCGCAGGTGGCCCGAATACCTGCGTGTAGCGGTTTGGCTGGGTCTTTGGTCTCTTTAAATGTACGGTGTCGATCTGAGATGCTCCTTAGATCGCGACTTGTTTGATACTCTCGTTAACGCTATTTATCCGTACTCAGGTTTCTCCACTCGATTCATCTGCGATTCTCGCCGCTGGTGGCGACACTGTCGAATTCCGTCTTTGCCGATCTCCCCATTTTCCCCTACGAAGCTCCGCTAAAAGTCTCCGTGCTACGTCCCCGCGCGCATGCGCATGCATAATCATAAATCACCATCTACCTGAACAGGTACTGCCGCCTTCCTTCCGTCGCCTTTCTGCGCCAATTGCAACTCTGGTGCACAATGTGCGTGTACACGCCAACACAGAAATATCATAGTTTACTCACCATTCGGGCAGCTGAAGATATTCGTAGTAGGAATCTGCAAAACGAACAATGGATTTTAAGTTTTGGAAGAAAGCTCAGGCATTCTATTACCGGGGATAATCCTATGTATTAAGGGAAGGTTGCGCTGCCACTCTTCTGACGCCAATAAGTCTAAGCTCTTATCTCTTAAGGAGCGCAGGTATCGTCAGAAAGTGAAGTGGAATCACGAATAAGGAGAAATTTCGTTTTTGTGATTTTTGGCAATTTTTATGATCCGGCTGCGGAATGGGTCCTTTGGGCTCGTCCCTTTGGCAACGAGACGTCGTCGCGTTATCAATTCTCGGTACGTTTGTGAAGCCATTTTAGATATATCTATTAGAATATTGATTACAGGATGACATAACGTGTATTGCTGTACATCCATGAAAATCGGTGCAAGACTGTTTCCAGAAGCCGAATAATGTGTTTCGCGTAAATAAAGCACCTTTTGTTAAAGAGCAAAAAGATGCAGCGAGCATAGGAGGTTTTTTCTTAAAAGCAGTATCGATGAAATTATGCAAATAATTATGCAAATCAACCCTCGCTGCTGTACCTACATTACGTTGGCAATCGTCGGTGCGTGAAGAGATCTTTTTTTTTTTTTTTAGAAAGTTCTGGGTGGTAAGAAGCGACGCCCGAGAATTTCTTAAGATGTGCGAAGTTACACATGTCGATTACACGAGTTACAAGGCATTTTGTCTGTGCCGGCTGTCGAAAATCTTGAATTATCGCTCAACAGTTAGGATAAGAGAACGTGGTGCAGCGCCATTGGGAAACAGATTGTCTTTTCGACGCTACACACCGAGTGAAAGTGATGAGAATCTACGTAAGTAACGAGATGCTGAGAAGCATCCAGTCAATTTCCCGGGGATCCGTCCGTTTGATCTTGGTAGGAAGGAGATTTTCAAGAAAGACGGCTAGCATTATCTAATTGTATTATTATATGCATCAAGCTTTATGTAATTTGGGTTCTTCCACGTGCGATCGTAACGTCCTGCTATTTATTGATTCTCACGACAACTGAATAATTCGAGGGTCGATCGGACAGTACATCGATTGTGAACATCTAAGGGAGCAGCGTCGACAGACCAAATTGACAAGCGGTGCAGCGGTGCAGCGGTGCAGCCACCCCCTATAGTGCAACTTTGAGAAGGCTCCTCCAGAGGACGAGGGTTGCCAATTGGCCTACGAAGTGGCAGCAGGTACCTGCGTGCACCGGATGCTCTCTTGCCAATACTAACTTCTGCTTCTCAGGCCTACGAAGGCATCCGGGAGTGCTATGCACTTTCACCGGCCGCACGGCAGGCACCTCTTCTTCTCACTCTTCTCCGATCATAGTTTTCCGGAAGGAATCGTTTGAGAACTTTTGAAAACGACATGGCTTCGTTGTCGAAGGAATGCAAAGTCTCGTTAATTTCGGCCTCCATCGAGCCGTGTCCCGCGCCTCGTGAGTCGCCGAATTGGAATGACCGCGGGAAAATTAAAGAAAGCGAACGGGACATCTAAGCGCAAATACGGGGGTTAGGTTAGGTTCAAATTCAATTGCCAGAGGAAACATTGTAATTTTCCGCACGGCGGAATCAGCAAGGTGAAATCATTGGTGTTCTTATTTCTATTTCGTTTCTTCTTTCCCCTATCGCCATTCGCGTCATTCCGTCAATGCCACATAGGCATATCATTGTGGTTTGACTGGCCTGGACTAACTGGTCCTGCCTGGTAAAAGTCGTAAAAAAAGATCGAATCGAGTGACAGGATATTTCGTAGTGGATATACTCACTATGTAATATCAGATTCGCAACTAATCGAACCGCGTCAGGCCTACCGACCTTTAGAACCATAGAGCTCCGTCGAAGCCACACTACGTAATACGACCGCGAGAATTCGTCGCTAGAATCAAATTACCAAATTAATAGCCGCGTAATGGATTTAATAATTGACCGAGCAACCCGGAACATTGGAAAATGACGCTCGTGAACTCGAAAAGTTTCATCCTACGTTTTGCCCCTCGTAATACAGATTTAATACGAGACGTTGCTTTGCTATGGCAAGTTCCTTCAGTTACGTAATAAGATGCGGAGGGAGGTTCTGGTGATGGTTCTATCCTGGACAAGAATAAGGATCTTTCTGCGAAACGTCCCACGGTTAGGAAGCCCCACCTCATAGGCAGTCTTCTTCACTTCCGGCTGGACTTTAATTACACCCGTGTGGAGAGAAACGATGCAAATCGTACAAGCGCTAGCAGGTCGGCGCGTTCGCTCGGGCGTCCCGACGCGCGTCTCGCACGCAGGTTTCACCGATTTACAATTTCGAAAATAAAACCGACCGTCGACGATTCCCTTACTGTATTTCCAATGTAAAGCGTGCTCGACTTTTCTTACCTGAGACTGGGATGGCTGAAGATGGCACAAGAGGAAGGCGACCAGAACGGCCGCCAATTTCCTTATCAGCATATTTCTGAAATTACAAAAGAATTCTTTAAAGCACACGTTTCACTCTCCGATGACTCCTTGTTACGCGATGAACAATGAAATGTTTTCCTATTCGATTACGACATCTTTGTCTTTTTTTGACACCTCCGTCTTCTTCTCGGAGCTAAGAAACTCCAAGAATTCACTGGATGTCTAAACAAAGAATGTCTCGTTACATTGTTTCGTTGTCGGATTATTTCGCGATGAACAAAGCGACAAGTAACTTCAGTGAAAAACTTCGAGCGAGTCCCTGACATTAATTCCAAAGCGAGAGCAGCGTGGTACAGTAGCGACTTAATCGTAAGGCGTGGCGCTCAAGGAATTCGTAACCCGTTCGGAAATCTCGGGTGCATCGTGGCCATTCTAAATACGAGGAGAAGCCCCGAGTTTCCAGTGAAACTTTGAAGATCCAGACGATCGAGATAAATCGTGGGGCGATTCGGTCTCGCGCAACCGCAACAGACGTTGGATGTCGAGTGCAAGCAAGATGAAGGATCTCAAAAGGACCTTCGCGAGGCGGCAACACTTGCCTCGGTTCGAACGCAACGGCAGAGAGCATGAACGAACGAGAAGGCGCGCCTCTAGAAAGTCGCCTTATGGAATCCGCCTTATTCCGCACGGGAATGTTTCTCCACTCGGTAAGACATTATTACATCCACGCGTAAGACTGCGGACCATTCCCCCGCAGCCTCGTTATACGTATCTCCACATACATACACGTATACTTCACAGGCGTAAAGGCGTAATGACTATGTCGATATCCTAGATAAAAAATTGATACATAATATTGGTATAGCCGCGCTGAAATTCCGGCATTAAAGTATCGGTTGGCAAAGCATCGCTGACGGATTCTCATGTCGCGACTGCGCATGCGTCCGGACCGAACTGCAATCCAAATTCTGCGCAACCTGTCGAAGACGTCGAGCAGCTGCGTCGTTGAGAATAAATGGAAAATACAAAAATAGTTGAGCGACGTTCTAGCTGCGCAAGCGCGTGCGCGGAAATAATGAGCTTCCCTCCCGTGGACGTTCAGCCTTTCGTTTCGCTTGTCCCTATTGGGCAACGATCTTGAGGACGAGTCCGACGAGAAAGCCGATCGGCTCCAGGCGCACGCGGGCGCAGGCTCCAGTCCCGCAAAGACGGGACTCCTCTTCCGCGGACGCTGCAAGAGACGCGAGGACAGGGTCGAGGAAACACAACGGCGAATCTCCATCCAATTCGCACGAAAGAAATTCCCATCCCAGGAGGTTGTTTCTTATTGAGTTATTAATGTTCCCCATACAGGACGAAAGCGAGGAATTCGAGAAGCGCGTTCCGAGCGGCAGCTCCGCGCATGCGCGTCCTAACCTTCGCGATCGCGCAATCCTTTTCGCCGTCCTACTCCGAGGAAGCTTCCACCGGCCCGGGAAACAAGCGCGGCTCCTCTCTCACGAAGGATCCCACGCTGATGTAACGTGCCCAAGATACGTGCTGAGTGCGCTTTTGCAAACGCGGGAGGCGACGACGAGCGGCGTAATTGCGTGTGCGTGACGCAACGGCGAACGGGGGACGGACGACTCGGCTGGGAAAAGGGCGATCGAATAATCGAGTAGGCACCGAGGCGTCGGCCTACTGCGCTCTCGCTCTGTTTACTCTCGTAAACAATAACCGTGCCCGATTCTCTTGTGCGCATGCGCTGTGTCACAGCAATCGCAACAATCCCATCGCTCCATCAGCCACGCTTCCCCAATTTGAGCGCGTAGCTCGCATAGCTCGCATAGCTCGCGCAGTCTGCGCCTCGATCTAGATTCTGCTCCCATCTTTACTCCTATTTACGCAACGGCATTGTCTTGGGCAATCAGTTCGAAGCATAACCGGAGCAGTACGTTTCCCGCAATTAAGCCGCTTGGCTAATTAGCCTCGTGCGACAGTTCCGGGGGCAGGTTCCGTTTGGTATTTCGTTGCGCATCTCTTGATACGCGTCATTATACTTCGGATGCCCGATGCTGCTTCGTACCGGAAATACTTTATCGAATGCACAGTCGAAGGATGGATGGTCGCATGCGAGCAGCCATACGTCCGTTTTGCAATTAGATGAGCGCCCCCCCTCCTTCCGCCCCAGGCACAGTTAGTCTGGAATCGGCAGGAGGGAGGGAAACGTCGACGGGCAGGTTTACGATTACGATACGAGATCGTCGTCGTCACGGAGTTGAACTCTCGGAGTCGATGCTTGTCCCTTTCGTAGAGTGTGGAGTGTAGATTATCGGCGGGTAACGGTTTCTCGAGAGTGGGCTTCGTGCATGACAAGAGCTGCTTGTCGTGTCTCACGATCAGCTGCGCAATTGACTTCACTTGTCTTTACACGGACTGTACTCGGTAAGAAATCCTGACGATACTTCACTCTTTGGGCTTTACTCGATATCTCTCGAAATTCTGATGCTTTACTGACTTTTGAAATGAAACATATAATCGATTTCCATTGCTCGCGTTATCCACTGTGTTGTCACGTAAAAGCATCCTTAAGAACCTTTCGTTCCACGATGAGTGTGCCGAACATATTAGATAACTCTATGCCTACCTCTACGTTCGTACAAGTTTCTATTAAACAGACACTTGATGCGAGTGAACAGTCGAAGTTTCATTCGATAAGAGCTCCCGTCTTCGCTTCGGGCTGTAGGTCAGTACTAGAAAGTATTTGCCCGGCGACGAAGGGTGTAAGAAAAGAAAAACGTCGGCCCGCCAGCGTACTCTAGTAAATCGGACTCAGCTAACGGTCTGGCGCGTAGTCGTAACAGCGTGAAAACGCGAAGCGAGAGAATTCGGTGGCGGCGCTGCGATACGTGCGGCGGCAGCAGTAGGCCAGCCAACGGTGATTTCGGTGCAGCATTCGAGAAACATTCAGCAACGACACGCTCCAGCGAGGACAGCCTGAGGAGAGCGGGACCACTTGCGAACAGTTGCGAATAAATGCCCGCTAATCATTAATGATACAACTTCCCGCATAATTCCCGACAATTACAACGCCTAAAGCTTCCCGTCATTTCTTTTCCTTCCACTTTCATCGTTTTGCTAAACGCAAAAATGGCTCATCGAATGCTCAGTTACTTTAAAGTTACTTTCAAAGGCGAACCCGTGCCAACGGCAGCGATACGATCAGAGATGGCAAGACGGCGGCTGGTCGCACGTGGCGATTCTGTGGAATTCGCTTTTCTACATGCATATAATAATAATCCCGATCGCAACTGGTGCTCGAGCGCTGTAGCCCTCTCCTTTGACAAACTTCCAGGTAACGGTCTCCGTCGCAGGAAGTGTCCGCAATACCACGTACGCACGATTGCCGGGTTATCGGTTGCATATTTCCTTACGATATCCTACCTCTGGGCGGCAGCCGTTCCTCGATACTCAGCCGTCGGTACAGGCAGCCGCTCAATCGAGTTTGGTGAACCTATCCCGACTCCAGATCAGGATGGAAGTGGATACGCAGGAATGTACCACTAGTCCAGCTTTACGACACGGCCTACGGTAGAGCAGGGACCAGAAGGGAGCAAACTGATCACGCTGCAAAGTACCGCTCGCCATTGTCCAGGCCACGCTTCCGGTACCTTAGATGGACTCGCTGCTCAATCGTTGTCGGGGTTGACTATATAAGTCAGGTCAATACCGGGGACGACACCCTGGAAGTCCCGATCGATCGTTCTTCGCAGGCGAACGCTAAAGGAATCGACTCTGCATTCGGCTCGCAGGAACTTGGACGAGGAAACGACCGAGACACGATGATCGTCGAACGAAACCGAACGGAACAAAATATAACGGTGTATCGGACGACTTCTATATTATACTTCAAGTCCTCTTCTTTTCCTTTTTCTCTCTTTATACTCCTTCGTTCTTCTTCTTCTTCTGCTTCCTATTACCGCTTCTGTCCCGTTCCTGCCCCTCCCGCCCCGCTCCTACCTCGTTCGCAGGTGTCACGTTCTCTCGATAAACCACGTAAACTCGTTTCTCTGACGTGCGACTTTCGGCCGCTAGGTGTAGCTGTACTTGGTTGGAGCCCTCTTCGACACTCAAGGTCGAGGGTGAGATCACTACGGATATACTATAGCCAAACATAACCCAATGCGAGCGAAGGTCATTGGAGTTATCTCTTGAACGATGACCAAAGACCGAGAATTTACATATTGAGCGTTGAAGATGTTAAAGATTATTATCTAGCGTAGTTCGTAATTCTGTACTTTTGACGGTGGATGTACTAAAAAGTTGCCGTGGTAAGCTGGCTCGAAGGAAGTTTGAGGAGGGCTTTGTGCAGAGGTCCTTGGTCCTTCCTCCTGTGTCCCATGCACAATGAATCCTGTTTCTCCTTGGGGCAGCCTTAGTATTATTCTCGTCACTCGAGCGCATGAATTTCCGTCCAGCGTCGTTTCCGTTTTTTTTCCGTGATTCTTTAAGAAAATTATTCTGACTTTGATTTTAGCACTGCCGGGAAAGACGACGTATCTGTAATAGCAAATACGGTTCGTCTGCAATTCGGTACACTGCTCTCGTTCTACATAGCCGGTTCTAAATAGTTGGTTAAGTGGCGTATTCCGAAGATAGCGTGTTATGCTTCTTATGCATGTATATAGATATCTACGCAAGCGCGCCTTTTCTCTGGATATACACTGGTAATTGGCTGCCTTTGTTAACTGTAACTGACTAACGTGTACGTACTTGTTTCTTCACGTTGCGCATCCTTCGCTCCACCTCTCTCTCTCTCGATTTTCTCTTATATTAGCGACGTCAATTACCGAATGCTACCGTTAATGCATTAACGAATTCCCCAAAACTCTTTCCTATCTTTTAGCATTATGGTGGAATTTTGCAAAATCTACTGACCAAATATCGATCCTCTCGATAAGACAACGGTACATTCGTCGTAAGTATTATTAATATAATTATACAATGGACACCAGTGCTAATGGGCATTTCTTATTGCGTTACGTATCCGTGTAAATATAACTGCTTGAAATTAGGCCGATATTAAAGTAAATATGCTTGGACGCACAGGAATTTATTATGTGTCGATTACCTGTGATTCATGGTCACTTGTTTTAGGACGCGTACATCCAAGAGTTTGTTGAATAAAAATTCGTCTTCAAAATCGTTTTCGCATTTTTCTTTAGGGATCAACGACTCTCTTGACTATGTTTCGAGTAATTTTCGTTCTTGACGCAATTCGACCTTGACATTTACAAGAGTGCCCGTTGGTGCGAATATCTCGAATGTCAAGCTTTAGGTTCGCGAATTCCAAATACCTCGTGTGACACAAATTGTTTTTAATCAAACGTCAAACAGTTATTTGAATGTAAAATATTCAAGTACCTAAAGATTCGCTGCTCTCGGTCCATCATTCTTCTTATACCTTACAGCCTACGCATCTACCTACCTGCACCTACCTACCTACCTATCTACCTGCCTGCTTATAATACCCAGAGGGCTCGCAGTATGGTACGCCCCTTGACCGGATTTATCTCACTATTGGATGCTGTACCAAATACCGGTATTCACACGAGCCCTATGCACTTGCCTACTAAGATTCTCAAAGTTAAGACGGATCAAGACTATGCCTAGAATTTTGTCAAAGAAATTCTTGTTATGTATACCGGGTTATTACGAATTGACTATATTACCATCTAGATATTTTCTCCAGTCTCGATGGCAAGTCATCGCGTAATTTGATTCCGCCTAGGCATTCGTGCGTAACGAGTAATCGCAGCCTCATGGTAAAGTCGAAATCCTAAAATACCTTTCGTAACTACTTCAATCTTATGATGCTCGTGCGAATTATATTCCTTGTCATTAGCATACGAACAGCCTCCATTCGAAAATCATTGAGCAAAATAGAAAAGTTCTTGTAAAATACAGAATATCAAAATGAACCATGATCCGAGCGTCTCGAAAAGGGACGACAGACAGTTTTCTCGTAATGAAAAATTTTAATGATTCAATTGTTTATCTGATAAGGATTCTTCAAAATAAGGTACTTACGTGTGCTGGTGCTTTCACCCAAGTCCTAGGATATAATTTGTACGGGGTACATGAACACTCTTGTACTTCGATTCGTGGAAACGAGTTGATTATAATATAGTTTTAAAAAGCACCAGTAGACAGTTCGTGTTACGTCGAACAACACTACACTTCCCGGTACTCGTGAAAAGTCACGAAAACTCGTCGAGGCGAAAAATTTCGAAAGCTTTTATATAGCACGAGAGTTCGTCGTTACCATCGGAAGCACTTAGAGGCCGAGATTTATTAAATAAAGTTTGAAAGAAGTCAAGATAGAATAGCGGACGCCGAACGTAACGATTCAGGGTCACAGAGCTCCTTCCCCCCAGGTCACCACCTCAAGACTGAGGGACAGTGAGGGACAGGGATTCACCGAGGACTCGGCTCGGCTCTCGAAGGTGAACGGCGCTACCTGGTTGGCTGGCTGGTTCCTGGCAGACAGGGCCTCACGGAGACCAAGGAGAATCGTCCGAACAGCATGGAGGCAGTCGCAGGCAGTCTTACGATCGCTGCTTCGGCTCAGTTCGACTCAACTCGGCTAAGCTCGGCCGTTGACCATTTTAGAGTATACTTCGAGGTATCTGCGGAGTGCGAGGCTGCCGAACACAGTGGCTGCTGGTGATGGCAACAATTCATTATGATTCACTGTTCACTCCCGCTTGTGTTCGGAGATTTAAACGCCTGGAGAAGCGAGCTTTTATTGACAAACTATTAATTTATTTAAAAATGTGCGTTAATCGGTTGCGAGGATTCATAGCGATGCTCTCGATTTTCATTTTACCACGTCCTAGCGTAATACTTAATGGAGAATGCTACAGTTGGTGGAGCCATGCATAGACAGCGGGTATCTACGTGAACCAATACAGGAATTAGAATAATTCTTACTAAATTACAGTTTGGCTACTAATCGTGATACGGTGACGAGTCATCGTCTCGATATCCTGGAGCGGGATCGCATTCGCGCAGTCTCCTCTGGCACGCGCATTCCCCTGCGACTGCGTATCTGAGAGCTGCCAAACACGAGCTTGAATAGTCCTGCAGAAAAACTGTGTATAAACGTGGCAAGCTCCCAACTAGATAGTCTCCGCTGGCACTTATTGGGTCTGCTGCACTTGGAGGCGTTCAACCCGGCAACTCGCACTGCACGCGAACCATCGCGAAGATGGCGCCTCTCGCTGCGCACTGCTGCCTCCTTCAGCGTGGAAATAAAAGGAAAGCATTGTGCTTAGGATGCCTACGAACCCTGAAAACTCTTTAGCGAAGCTGCCAAGTGGCGCCTACCCTCGCACAGTGGCGCAACTCTTTTCATTACGTTGCCAGTTCTCTAGAGAATCCCTTTCGATTTCTTCTCGGTGTCGCACCGTATATCGACTTGCTGACGTGCTGCAGTCTGCAGTTTTGAAACTACCGTCATCCCTGGAATTTAGTGGCTAGTGCTGCCAGGAGGAACGAACTAGGTCATGTACCGGTTGATCCTTATAACTTTGTGGGTCGGACTGTATTTAATCGATGAAAGTAGGATGGTCAAATTCTAATACGTGCACGAAGAGTGATTCGAACAATTGGCGAGTTCAGTCTGATATATTCAGTCCCTAAGGAATGCTACGCGACGCTGAGACTCTTTGGGATCTCGACGAAGGACGTTCTTCGTTAACGAGAACTTTGTACAGATTGCATGTAATATGCAACTCGGTGCCCTGCACGTATTTCATGCTATGCCATGCAATAAAATATTACCGTTAACTCGCCTCCACCTTGCTCTTTTCTTTTGCACGATCGATTTATCTACTTACCGGTAAAGTAAGAACTGGGATATTTAAAAAAATGCATTACGGAAATCCATGAAAAAGAATTTGTAAGAGGTCCTTAATCGTCTTCAACACTTCTTGCGTGTCTGTGTCAGTCGTGATCATCATACAGTTTGTAACGGGAATTTCCTATGACCGTTTCAAAAAGGATGGTCATCCTTGAATGTAGTTTCCTTCGGTATCCTGATAGACGTGTAAGCAGTCATTACGCACTTACATAAACACACAACTACACGCATTGCATAGCGGCATATTATACAGTCTGTTTGTTCTGTTATTATACACTTATTGACTCGCAACGTTGAACCAGTGATCTATAAACGGTTTTCTGCATTCCTTAAGCCACCCGAAGGGCGATTCGAGTCGCTGTAACGTGCAGCGTTCGAAAAGTCCTGCGTCCGTTCCTTGCATAGTGGTTGGTCCAATCGCGTGGGTCGGCTCGTGTTATTACGAACGAATAGACCGAAACTAATGACGTGTATTTTGCGCCGTCATATAACAGTAAGGATCAGTCGGAAAACCCGTTGTGATTCTGAAGTCGCAATTGTACGTAACGTCCATCTCATCCACCTTAGGTTGTCCATTCTGAGAACAATGTCGCGATATATGGAAAAAAAAAAAAACATTCAACGAAAAAACTTAGAGGTGTTCGTCTTTTGTCCCTCTGAAAAAAAATGAAAGAAAAGGACATACAAGAATCGTGACTAGACATACTCTAGCAGGGAAGAATTGCGACAGCGCTGATTAAGAAGCTCAAGCAACTCCAATATCTCACGGAGTCCTCAATCGCCTCGAAATAATTCGAGCAAGTAGTTGTACTAGTCCACCTACAGGTATCCATTTGTCCCTGACTATTGTTCGTATCCGTAAAAGAAGTTCATCTAATCGTAGTACGTGCATGGGCCAGAATTTATCTGGTTACTTGATAAAATGCCGAAGAGCCCCGAGCAACGGGGAGGGAGACGCTTACGCTGGCGCGCATGCGCACGCGTGCGCCTCTCCTAGTTTCGTGCTGCTCGAACGCGCCTGCTGCTGCTTGCTCGCGAGTCGACGGGCCGATGAGCATTCTTCGAATATCGTCGGAATTAGGGATTGGGTTAGGCTAGGTTAGCCACGAGTGTGACCGGCTAAGGATTAGGCAGTTTTGCCAGGGCGTCGACCCGCCGAGAAACCGTTGGTCGATCGAGGAGACGTGCTCGCAGGTGTACTTACTCGCAATCAGCCAACGCTCGCTCTACTGTGTAGCCACACCGTCACGTAAACTCGCTCGTTACTCCCGCCGACGCCACCTCGGTTGGCGCCCCTCCTGGCCTTCCTCGGTGCACTCAACCTCTTCTGGAATTAAGGTCGTGACGTGCCACGTGACCTCTTTACGGAAGATAATACAGGTCAAGGAAGTTTAAATCTTGGCTGCTTTCTGGGCTGACTCAGGATGACGATAGCAATCTTTCTCCTCTTTCAAAAGTAATAGCCATTTTCTTAGAGATTTCACAAATTCAGATGGGACGAAATTCTTGAAATTCTTAACGCCATAAAAAATCACGTGTGAACCGCGAGTGTACCGAATTACCGTTAGCAGCTTAGTACCCGTGCGACTCCAAGAGCTTCAAATCTGTCTCCATGACACTGCGCCTAGTGACTTCAAAGGTTCCCTTTCTTTTCTTCTTTTTCTCTGACTGTTTCCTAATTACAATGCGCATTTGCACTGCGGTGGCCTTTCGCTCAGTGAGGCGCCCTATGAATGTTTTGGCGTCGGTCAGAAGGACGACCTACGAGGACTGGAAGGTGGCCTCGTGGATGAGGTCATAGTGCTCGATGGCCAGTTGCACGCGTATGCAGAAACGAATCGACGGAGCCGGAGGTCGGCAGCCTACAGGAAGCTGCCGTCAAGTGTAACGGTACCAGCCGTGCGTCGAGCTTCGCACCTGAACGTGCCGAACTCTCACGCGCCGTATGCGATTTCACGTCTTTCGTTTGCACGCTATCTTGTGCCTGCTCATTGTCATTCAGTCATTGAAACGCAGACGTTCGTTTCAATTTTTCTTGGCGATCGATTCCAATTAATTTGAAAGGAATTTATCGTAGCAACTGTAAGACGCATGCTGATTCGTCGAATTTCGCATATCTTCGTCTCACCTCTCTTCCCTCTCTTCCCGGCAAATGAAAAGCGTTAAAGACCACCAATGGCGGAAGTCCAGCGCCTGGCTCTGACTCAACCCATATGATTCGAGAGTACAGGCACCTAGCGAATATACTGTGTAGGCAATACGTAATGAGGACTTCACACATTCCACAGCGTTCTCCTACCTCCTACTTCTTCAGTCGTCGCTCCCCTCTTGCCATTCTCCACCTGCCCCCCACTTCGCTCCTGTCCGACTCACGCAGCCTCGGTGAACGGTACATCTCGAAGCGACATTACACATGCCTGTGGCACGTCACCGATTACATAATCAAAGGGCGTGTACCGGTTTTGGGTCAAATTTGAAAGCTTAGGTACCCCCTTTATAAACTGTCAGATCGCTTCCTGATTCCGGAAAAACGAGGAGCCGAGTAACTCTGTTACTCTTGTGCCGGAAGACACCGAGTGAGGTTGCTCCGCGGTTGGTCATTACTCATCAGTCATCACATTGCGACTATCCTCGTTTCAGCGATGACGTTCTCGCGGGGCGTAGCTAGTTGATAGTTGGAAAGGAGATTCGAGCCGGATGAAAAAGGAAGGAGCTGGGGAACGATAACTTTCGTTACTCGTTGCACGACAATTGACAGTGGCTTTTGATCTTGTAGAGAGCATTTATTGCACGATTGGATCTAAAACAAAGATCAGCAAACGCTTCACGGAGTCTCCCTCTTGCATGCAATTTTATGAAGTGCCTTGAGAAACAATGGCTAAATGAACGTATTAACGAACTGAGGGTTTTAATTTCAGCGGTCAGGAATTGGTGGATTCACTCTGTACCAACGATTTGCAACGTGGTCACCAATTGTCAAGGCTAGAGGGAAACACGTGCTCGACGTAGATCCGAAACTGCATATCTTTGGTGTTGGGTCGATGGTGCATCGGTGGTGCATCGGTGCTATCTCGAACGCTCCGAGGATGGATAAGCCTACGAGAGATCAGGGAGGCAAGACGAGAGAAAGGGAGTAGAGGAGACGGAGAAAGAATGTGGCGAATGGGGTCGCTGACGTTGAAGGCAAACGGCTGCTCCTTGGCTACGAGTAAGTAGCTTCTTGCCCCTCTGCTCGTCTCAGGCAACCTCAAACCTCCAACGGCACCATTCACATTCCCAAGCGACTCATTCGACTGGTTCGATCGTGCATTTCAAAATTGAGAAAATCTGATAGTCATTGAGTCAACACGGCCACGACGAGGAAGCCAGGGATCGAATAGATTGGTGGTATCGGCTTAGACGCAACTGACAAGCAGCCGATGGCAGGGTTCCCGTGGCGACGCCAGCCTGGCCAGAGGCGCGTCATTCCTCATAGTCAGCCAGGTATTCTCGTTGACACGGAGCATGTAGAAGTTGTCCAGGTCCACCACTCTGGGCTCGCCATATTCTTCCAGAGCACTCCTCCTCTCAGTGAGCCTCCTGCCTGTCTTGTATCCCAAACTCTTGCAGAGTTCCTCGACTTCCGTCGGGGAGGTCACGGGTAAATCGAAGCACTCGGTATGCCACACACCGTGGAAACGACGAATTACCTCACCGGTACCGGGACTGAAATGATTCATGCATGTTTCTCCTTCAACGATCTAGTCGGACTGGTCAATGTTTAAGGCTGAGAATTGTGTATATCTACACGTAAATAGACTGATTAAAAGTGACAATTTGGCGATTTGCTTTCTTTAATTGGCAAAATTATACTTACGGATCCCTGAGCGATCCTTTTATTTTTCTGCACTGAGTCTCGTCGTTATTTGTAAAGCAATCTTGTTGACCGTCACACACAAAGTCCTGCGGCACGCATAATTCCGTTCCATTGATCCTGAATATACAAAGGGGAGCATTATTAAATTAGGACGTTATTTCCCAAATTCCTTGAAACTCCTTAAAACTCTTGTATACTCCTCGATTCTCTCTTACTTGCCACACTTGAAGCTGGAGTCCTTGCAGTAACAGGTTTCCGGATCTTCATCCGTCTTGTCGAAACAATTGCGCGTTCCGTCACAAATCCTTTCTGGTGACGTCAGCTCCAAATAAGCTGCGCACGTGCAATTAGCGGGCTCGTCAGACCCATCCGCACAATCCACCTTGTGGTCACAAAAACGTTCTTTCGGTACGCACTCCCCGTTTGCGCAACGCAATTCCGACTTGGAACATCCTATAGGAAATCGCACTGTAAGTTGCACCGACGAAAGACTCCGTAGGTGCAGGAGTGAACATTAACGAAGATCACTTACTGCATCCGATTGCGTCGGTGGGATCGGCACGGCAACGATCCTTCTTTCTTCTGCAAAAATCAGCATCTTCGTCGGCGCCATCGCGACAGTCGGGAACTCCGTCGCAGATTCGATCCCATGAGACGCACTGACCCAGAAGACATCGGAATCCATCGCACTTTGCCAATTCCTTGGCAAAGTTCTGTTTTTCATCTGAAAGACAGATAAGTCGGTTAGTCAAGTATACGCTTGAGTAGCAATACTTATACACGTATAGTATACACATGATCTTCCGTAGATACCTATGGCCTCTGCGAGACGAGCGTTTATGAAATCTATACTTGTCAAAGGCCGCTTTTCTTGAAAGCCGCAGTAACCATTTTCCTCGTGAAAAATGGCTGCGGGATACCAGCCAAATGAAGATTGGCAGACTATCGTCCCACTCCAGGGAAGTGACGTTTCGTTCTGAAAACAAACGAACGGAATGAGGATCATCTCTAGGAATGTTTCCTCAAGGCAGATTTCAATAGTTATTGTAACCAACAAAACAATTTTTTGGATGACTTCTCTTGTAGCAGCGATTGCAGGTCGAGCATGTCATGTCTGCTTGTAAAAATATTGTTCTTGTGCGGCCATTGTCATCCACTCCAGTCGCCACACAAGCATACTTGTCGGACGCTGGGTGCATTCTGAAAGAGCATTGCGCCGCTTCGTTAGTTCCAAAATAATGAAGAGAATCAGCCGCGGGAGGTACCTTTTGTTCAGGAATATAGGCTGCACATGTCGTGTTGCATTTACCGGATCTTGCAGGTGCAGCAGTACTGCGTCCGTGTCTTGAATAAGCTTCACTTGGTCGACTGGAAGAACTTGCTGGTGCGGACCATCCACGTGCAAGTACGATTGCGAGAGACCTAGCATAGCTGCTGTATAATTGCTCCTTAAGCTGCAAGTATAAGGTCAACGAAGACGTAATCCTGACCCTTAGACGTGACCTTGTCAAATGCGATAAATCGGAAGAACTGCTTACTCTATATTTTGGACACATCGCGCGCTGGTAAGGAGCCAACTGTGCTCCAGGAGTACGGCCGAGCAATGATAACGGCCGTCCACGAAGATGGCGGCATGCCAGGGCCAGAGGTAGCTAGGATTCTCGGTGTCCTTAATGCTCACCAGGTGATTGCTGACGCTCGTGTTCAGAGTGGGATTGCATTCAACGTGTAAACTGACGCAGGTCTTGTCGCCAGTGCTGTCGGTACTCTGTGCAACTTCAGTGTCTGGATACCCGTGGCCGACGACACCGCGACCGGCAGACGGAATCGCGTCGATCGTCTTGTCACTCACTATCGTCTTAGTGGTATTCATCTGGTCTCTGATTGGGATGAAACAATCGCATGTTTATACAGGATTCCGTGAAAAATTTGCTAGTCCGAACGGATGAAGCAAAAGCTCTCTTACTCGAATCCAAGATAACGACACACGTATTGCCCAATGCTTCTCTCCCTTTCCGTGTCATTCGAAGCGAACCCATTAGTGTCCAAACAAAATGGCCGCCACTGACCATTCTGATACTGGCTCACGATTCCCTGCACGTTCAACTGCGGTCGTCCCTCCAGGTCGACGGTGACGCTGTGACCGTTGCTCAACGAAACTGAAATATTAATTGGTATCAGCCTCAAGGACCTTCCCTATCGAGGATACCGTAAGACTGCACGCACGCTTGCAACTCCACGCGTCTCCATGCAGATCTGCGCAACGGTACTGCGTTTCCATTTACATATTATTTCACGGCAATACAATCGATCGTACGTCTAACGTTAATGACGTTAGGAACAATGTGCCATTACTTGGTTACCACTTACAGCAGTCCTGTTCGTCCTCGCCCAGATGGCAGTCTGCAACTCTGTCGCATTTTCCGTTTAACGGGATGCACTTTCCACTTCTTGCGCAATGAAATTCATTCCGGTCGCAGGGATCTGCGAAAATGTTGAAATTATAATATTTTCTCTCTACCTCGTTGGCGACTTGTTTACGAATATATTTCCACATAACGACATAATGATACTTACGGCAATTCTCCTCGTCGCTTCCATCGTCACAGTCGACGTGTGCATCGCAGACTGCAGTTGGCTGGAGATTCCGTAAGTAATCCCTGCAGGTGCAGTTTTCTTCGTCGGTCGCATCCTCGCAGTCGATCACTTTGTTGCATCGCTTACTATTCGGCAGTCGCTGCAGCATTCTGCACGTCGAGGCAAATCAATTGCATCGCAAAGATCGAATGAATATATGCTGCGATGGAATCGCACGGAGATGCACTTACCTGGTGCAGACAAAATGACTGTTAATAGGAGTTGGCAATGATGTTTTCCCAATTGCTGGAACGGCGGGCCGACTTGTAGTCAAATTCAGAAAATTACTCGAATTCTCGGGAACGGATGCATTGACAGGAAGCTCATCGGCAGCGGGTGGATCTGTTCTCCAAAAGGAATATGCAAGAATTAATGCTACGAGTGCCTGCATTGCATTTTAAAGCACAGAAAACTGTAGGAAACGCCCTGGAGTGCACCTGAACACGCAGTTTCTTCAAACTCGTTCAGTGACTTCATGTTCTTTTTTTCTTTTCTTTTCCCTCTACGGCGAGAGTTACTACTCTCGAACGAGAAAGCATATCGGAAAAAAATGCTCTATTAAGTATTGACACGATATACAATAATGGTTCGTCTTCCCCGTACCCGATAGTCGACTAATTGCATCTTACAATCTATTGCAGTTGATCTCTGTGACGTTATTAGCAATCTCCTTACCCGGTGGGGAAATCGCTGAGGGCGCACTGAGATCTGCGTCTGCACTTCTAGCGGCGGCAGTATTTAAATTTCTGAACAAATCGAAATCATTGTAAGTCTGACAGTCGACCTCATCCTCCACTGATAGACAGTCAACCCTTTTGTCGCAGCGTCGCACAGCAGGGATGCACTTCCCGGCTTCTCCGTGACACGTGAAGCCAGGGCATCGTTGCAGTGGTCTGTCGCCAAGTCCAGGATTCGTGCGCACTGAGATCGCAAACGATTATCATCAGTATCGTCATCCTCAATCTGGATTCTTAAGAATATTTTAGGCATACGTACTAATTACGCTGTCGATCCAGTCGACGAAGTGGCTGACTTTTGTGTATGCACCTGGCTCTTCGGGACGACCGCAGCCATCTCCGTGACTCACTATACCGGCCACGTACCACTGCGTCCCCGATTGCGGATTTCTGTAAGGAGTATATGCTTATTATTTTAAGATCCTTGAGAGTTCACAGGAATGAATTGATTAAGTTGATGACACACAGGCAGATGAGTGGTCCACCGCTGTCACCCTGACAGGCGTCCACTCCACCCTGGGGGATCCCAGCGCAAATTTCAGCTTCGTTGCGATCCTCTGGATGCTTGCAAAACGGTAGTATCGGTACAGTAGCTTCTCTCATGTGATCCGCTGCAACACAATGATCCAGTTGATGACGATGAAATTCGGAATTTTACGAAAGAATCCATTTTATGGACTTACGGTCCAGCCCATGCTCGATTGTGGCGCCCCATCCGGCTACGATGCAACTGCTCGCTGGTTCTGGTCCCATTCTCCAATTGGGTCCAGCCGTGTCACTTTTTGGAAGGCAGATTGGACGCACCCAGCGATTAAAGTGAAGAGGCTCTTTCAGTCTAATCAGAGCTACGTCATTTTTCATGCTTTGCCTATTATAGTTGGGATGCAAAACAACCTCGACGGCCCGTTGAGTTTGAGCCATAGGTGAGAATGAAAGCCGTCGCAGAACTCCAGCTCGTATCTCGTAATAGCGATAGCGGTACCTATAAAGGAAGAGACTTGATTCTATCGAATTCAAGATCCTGGTGAAACGCTGTCGATCAGGTCGCTACTCACCTCTCTACGCAATGTGCCGCAGTCAGTATCCAGTGTTCAGTAAGAATGGTACCACCGCAATGAAAGGATCCGTCGGTATAAATGGCTACCAGAAATGGCCAGGCCCTTGGTTGACTGGCACGGCCACCCACGATGCGTCCTTCGGAGCGGACGACGCTGTCATTCCGAATATTCGTATGGTTGTCAGTCAGCGCTTTTGCTATTTTCTGCAGAGTCGAATTCCACTGGGGGTTTCCGGTCTCGATATTTTTTTCCTCAGTCGCATTGGAAAGTGGAACGTGTGAAGTACCCAGTAAGGGATCCTCTAAGATGTTATAGGTGGGATAAAACTCCTTATGGGGTAGAACCCTAGTGCCACACGGGACTGCTGGACACTGAACGTACAGCGCACCATTCTGGCAACTTCCGGAAATGCCTATTTCACCTGAAGAAGTTTCTACGAGATACTGTCTCATGAAAAGATGCCCAGGATAATTGTTGAAACTAGTCATTGGGTTGCCACTGCAATAGAATTATTAATATTGAGTTTATGAAAATTTGACGAAAAAAAAAACACTTCTCAAAATATTAAAAGTGATACTTCAAGTTGATTAATTTTAAAGACTCAATACCGCATTTGCGATCCTACTTCCGCCAGACAAGCACTCATGGTCCAAGCAGGGACCCGTGCGCAGACGAGGTACCAGCGGCCTTGCCAGTTTCTGTGAAGGTAGCCGGAAGTATCTCCGACCATGAACATCTGGAGGAAAGGTCAATAAAGTCATTATCACTGCGAGTACTGTCAGTCTCGTGAATGACGACTATGGTAAGATCGCAGATTGTATAAGATATTCCGTACATTATCTTCGTTGACCGTACGACTCAGAATGTTACAATCCAACTCATCCCTTCCGTTTGGGCAGTCATTGTTGCCGTCGCATCGTTTCGTCAAAGGCACGCACATTGATTTCGATCGTCGGGTCCAATCGTCGCAGCTAAAGGACCGTTTGTCGCATCCTGCGATCAATTCTTATTTAATTAAAATGCTCCGTATAATAACCTTCTTTAATATAATTGGAACTGTCGGTAAAGAGGAACACTAAAGGAATGATAACAGTACGGCAGCACCATCTGCGTATTCTTTGAGACTTAAGAGAAAGCAGCAATGGTGTGCCAGTAACTGAGTATCTACCGTCGAGCAGCCACGTGTAGAAAATACGTCGGTAACTTACCGAAGCAACCGAGTTCATCTTCACCGCGCGGACAATCGAAATATCCATCGCAAATACGATCTTTTCCAACACGATCTCTACAGGAGCAGTTCGTTTCGTCACTAACATCGGCACAGTCGACGTTACCATCGCACCATCGAGACTTCAAGATGCAGGCGCTGCCGTCGTTACACGATCGAGAGCCACGTGGACAATTATCGTCATAATCTGAAACACATTGTGATCCACCCCAATCGCGATATTGAAAAATTCATTTTTTTCTGCATTGTTGTACACATAGTAAAACTCCAATAGCGGACCTGAATAAATGTGCCCATAACGAGGTCCATCCTGGCTCATTGAAACTTGAGCATCAACCTTGCTGTTCGACATGTTGCTACTGCTCGATCGCTGGTATTCCGAGACATTGGGAACCGCAGGAAATTGCAAGGTCGGATTGGAAACGTAGGTGCAGTAATAGTACCCGGGTTGCGTGCCCGAAGACGTGGGGGGTTGGTTTCCCGTGTTCAGATGGAAGTTCTGCAGTCCTGGTCCAGTGGGTCCCACTTTGTGGGCCGGAATAAACATCCCAGGATTTGGCATGGCTGTCGGAGCATACTGGACGGGCGCTTGCACTGGGATGTATTGGACTCCTTGATTTTCTATATTGAGAAACGGCACACCAGCCGTGAACTGTGCACTAGAAGCTGATGGTCTAACGGAATTTACAGGACCAACGGGACCAATCGAACCAACAGGACCAACAGGCCCTATGGGACCAGGCGGATAATTAACCGAAGATGCTGGAATCACAATACTTCCTGCAGCAGTGTGCCTGTAAGGCAATGCATTTTGGGAGCCGAAAAAACAAACCGGATATGGCATCCAAGAAACGGGTGGAGTATACTGCGTCTGCCGATTGAATTTCATAGTTTCGGCTGTGGGTATAGTCATGGCCGTCGGTTCGAAATTGTCTTTCGATTGTTCTGCAATCGTTACGATCCTCGGCCCACGTTCGGATGGATCCGAAAGTTCAGAAGTGGACACTGTGATCCGCGATGCAGCAACACGTGCGGAATCTGATTTTTCAGGTTGCGACGATGTCTTCTCTTGGCCACTTTCGGGAATATTCGCATCTCGCACTGTTGACGAATCCTCGCTTGGAACGACGAAATCAGCCTGGGTTCTGTTTACTTGATTCGCCTTCGACGTGGAAACCGTATAGCCTTCTATCACTCTTGTAGTCTCCACGAGATGACCTGGCATCGTTGCAGTCTCAAAATCGTCATACCGTGTAGAAGTCGACTCTGGCATAGAGGCGATAGGAGTTATCCTTGACGTGCCAATCTCTAAAATGTTTTCAAATTCAGAAGTTGCAGCGGCAGTGGTTGAACCTGTATATGTCACCGTAGTAGATTCCGTGGAATTGCCAATTCCGATAGTATCTGGTTCGACTGAGACTTTGCGTTCGTTAGCACGTAGCGTCGAGGGCGACGTGGACAAGACTGTCTGGATGTTTTCAGGAATAACTTGATCCACTATAATTTTCAAATCTTCCCTGAAATCGTCCTTACTCTTGGTCTCCTGTATACTGGAATTATTGCCGACAGTTTGGTTAGAGAATTTCCTGAGTAAGGAATCCACCTTCTTCAAGTTTTCTACGGCGTGCGGGTTCCCGGTGCCACCGGGCGCACCAGGAATATTTGCCGATTCTGCAGGTGCGGAATTTTCAAAAAAAGTTATGGAGTCGCTTTCAAAGTTCTTGCTGCAAACGAAGCAGTCCCTGATATCAGTTATTTTAAAATTTCCAATTTCATTGTCTTTTGCAACTCCTGTTTGAGTCATTAGTTTATTGAGTTCGTTGACTCGACTATGAACACCGTGCACAAGATTTTTCATCCGTTCTGCAATTTTTTTGCAATGCTCGTTATTTTTGAGTCTACAGGATCGACCGCTAGGCGTCATTTCCACAGAGCGCTTCGGTCGTCCATCCTCTTCCTCCGACGAAGCTTCCATTAGTTCGTAAAGAGCAGCCAATTCACCCGCAATGTCATTTGCCTTCTGACCAGGAACCAAGTCCTTTTCGTTAATGTCCTCGAAATTCTCGAGGAGATCCTCCAGGCTGGTTACTTGCGTATTTACATGATCCTCCCTGACGTGACCATCAGGCTGAGTAGCGACTGAAAGGCAGACGAACACGTAACTGGAGCATTATTAGAAATTTCAATATTTACGTACAACAAATCCCGTTGAAATTTCGCGAGAGTCGAGATTTCATTTCTATCGAAAAAAAAATAGACACATTTTGTTTCTGTGAAACGTGCGACATACCGTTTGGCGCTGTGCAGATTATCGAGCCGATGAAGATCATAAATAGTGCAATCGACAAAGTTCCAAGGAAAATTGCGAATTTGTAGCGCAGGAAAAATTCCCAGTAAGTCTGCGCACCGAGATCTTTGCAGTATGCAATAGATGGCTTTGCTGAAAAATTTAAATGTTCTCACGGCTCCATTTCTGGCATTCGAACATTTTTCCACTTACCGTAATTATGAGTTGACGCAATAGTGGATTTACGGTCGCCATCACCAATCGGTATCTCCTCCATTGGCAAGGAAGCCACGTGGTAATCCTCGCGCGAAGTGATCATTACCTTTGTTTTTCACCTGCGTCCGAACTATTTCCCATAAGATTGCAAAAAATCAATTATTTTTCATTGATTATCCAGAACCATTAAAGTTCTAACGGCACTGATTGAATTTCTACCGATGATCTTGCAAACTCACCGAAATGTACTTTTAAATTTCCAACTCCCGTTAATCGACGCAATTGATCTTCAGCTCCTGAGGAATCTTCGTGGACAATAGCGAAGCTACAATAGGACTTTCCGAAGTTCGTGGGGAAGTGTTGACGGCGCGCGATTCCATCGAGCAGTACAGGAGGTAAATTCGTGGCGAGGCGAGTGAATTCTTTGCGTGGCCGATCGGGTGTCAGCAAATAATGCGAAGAAGGCATTATTCTTCCACATTCTTTCGTGTAGGCAAACAGCGCGGGTGAATGGCCACGGTTGCTAGCGGCTACAATTTTACGAACAATCCGCTTTTCCTCCTTTTAAATATTCATATGATTTCCGAATAGGGCTGTTGAGCGTTTTTCAATTTTATGCAGCCCAGCACACTACAATTTACGGAATCTTACGGACTGTCTACGTCAAGCTCGCAGTCGACGGTTGATTCGTTAAATTTCAAATTGACTTTCAGTCCTGTCGGAATACTCGCGTCTCTGTGGAAGCGAAACGCTCGCAGTGCCACCTGGACTTCGGAACGTCCCAGTCAGCCCCTGGCAGCTGCTGCCATTGGGTCGATCCCGATAGAATCCTCCGTGGCCTTGGTAATCAATTCATCAAACTGTAATCTCCAAGAAAATGGAATACTCAGAAGCAAGATGCCGGCTGTTTCGTAAAACGTTGGTGCGAGGATCCTCTGGATTTCGTTGTTTTTCTCTACATTCCAGAATTTGGAATACGAAATTTGACTCGCCAGCGCAACGTCGAAGAATGTCGGTGCGCGCAAGGGAAGGGGAATTTCACACGTGCGTCAATCCCTCTTCCGTCTAGCCACCCCCGCCCCCCCGGCGCACACCTGGCATCCGCCTCTTTTCCTTTCATTGTCTCCTAATCAGTTTTTACTCACTGCCGATAATCTGCGTAACCAAGATTTTTCATTTTATATTGTATTTTTGTATAATATCTTTTATTCAATCACAAGATTTAATCACATTGTTAATGGCTTTCAGCACGAAATTCACTGTTCGTGCCGTGTTTGCCGCAAGAGCTGGTACTACCTATAAATAAAAACATTAATCTTTATTACTTTTCATAAGTGGATATACCACGTTGTAAGAACTGTCGAGGTTCGGCCAGGAGTCCTTGAAGAATATTAAACTTTTCAGCCGCATTACAATTCGGCAAATCGGCCCGTCGCATCGTTCGACTTCCTTCAGACAAGTTTTTACATAGAGGGAAGTCAATTTGCATGTCTCTGACAATGTCACCGTGCTCGGGTGGAACAAACTTAAAGGTCAGCCTCAGAAATACGTTGATTGTCAACGGCAACCGAAGGCCTCTAATTAGTATTTCGGTCGATGCGTTCAAAGATGACCGTGAATACCAATGCAAGATCAGTGGCTCACGCGCCATTTTGTCTCGTGATAGTTTCAACTGAATATCAGAGCAGCAACCAAACACATGGTTAACGTAGAGAATCAGAGGAAGGTGCAAAAGTGAAAAGAATCCTTCGGTATCGATCCTACGCGCAAGAGTTTCGAGGAAACCGGATGATTAGAAACATTCCGAAGACTCGAAGCTCCTGATAAAACCTACGGTTGCGCAATCTGAGGCACGTCGAGACGACTCGGATTGCGATTTCCTGCTTTCAGTTTGATTCGGCGTGAAATCGTTGCGATTCGAGCATATCCGCTCTTAGCCAGATCCTAAAGTGTCGACGAACCGATGCAAAAGCATTCGTTGATAAAACATAAAACTCCAGCGAGTCAGGTACACACTACGTATAGCCTTATCGATTGGCATTCGAAACTCTACTCGATACTATTAAATTCCCTTCCCCTCCCCTTTCCCGATAATCTAACGCTGTTGCACAATTTGTCTTCCTTCTACTTTCCCCGGTGCCGAGAGGCGCTGTGCGAAGTTTCGCGACGACGAAAGCAGCGACGGCAGCTCCTCCTTAGGGGATTTTACGCGGGATTGATAAATAACGGCGAAATGTCGCTGCGGCCCTGACAATGTTATTCCTCGGGAGACCCAGGATTCGAAGTGGCTCGGTCGCCGTTCATCATTCTTCTTAAAGACTGGATACTTCTCGACACTTAATTACTAGCAGATTAGTATCCATTCTCAAAGTTTACTTCACTTATTAAAAAGAGAATTGCCTTTTGTCTTTTTAAAATTAAACTTGTGCGGCAGATAAAAGTTTGCGCGTCAAGTGGTCGGGGGATGACTCGAAAAATACTCGTTCGAACACGAAGACGAATACCGCCACTGCTACCCTTCTCTGTCGAGCCTCTCTTTTGCTCTCGACCAACGAATTCGGACGTTCACTCTAACGTGAGTCGTCTTCCCGGTCGGATGCAGCCAAAATGAATTTTTCGTAAATAATGAGATATATGCGGATCTCGAGCGATTCCTCCTCCACGAAGAAAGAATATTTATAGCATTCCAGTAGAATTCCCAGTGAAATGGAAATGTTGCGGTGCACTTTTGAAGTAACGCGAAAGTGTTTGTGAGTCGTCTCTCTGCCTCCGTGCGAGATAATACTCATTGGTCTAAAAGGCAATCCTAATAAAAGGCTTTCTCTGCGTGGCTACAGAAGCACAGATAAAAAGTATACACACACTTTCGCCAATTGATTCATGAAAATCTCGTGTGGCTGGACATCCTTAATTTCAAAGTGGTTTACCTCGACCCACATCTCACTCGAAGTATTACCGATAACCTACCCGTAGATTGTGTAACGGTACAACGCTGTGCGCTACGTTGTTTCTTATCTGCATGAAAAATCTATAAAATATTATGCAAACACGCGTAACGGCGAAAGACGTTTGAGTTATCGTCTGATGGACTTACTGACCCGTGACGTAAATGTATATCCCTGCTCTTCGTTTATAAGGTGCGCCACTCTGAAATCTCGCAGTCTTATCATATCGGATGTGGTGGTCGCAGGAAAAAAGTAAAGGCACTGTAAATACGAAAGAAGAAAATCGTCGAGAATTTTGTGTAGTTTGTCTTTGTATACAAATTATGACGAATAGTGAGAGATTTTTACGTCTTAGATATAATTCCGTGTCCAGTGACTAATTGCGAGGAATCGAGCAAATCGGCATTCATTTGGATATCTTCATCATTCTCGAAATACATCGAAAATACACTTTTGGGTTTTAAAACATTTTTAAAAAATTTATTACCTAAAAATTCAATTCCTTCACACTTTTCGTACAGTCCGTTTTAACGAATCAAAACGAAATTGGCATTTCGAATACAAATAGCAATGATCCGTTCTTACTGTTAATAATAAATAATTCATTTTCATTTAAATTAAATCATTGAAACGATTATGACTTAAATTCATTACTTGATTTAGCATATATCGTCCGATGACGAAAGAGAAGCAAGTACAAGGCTCTCAAACTCCCTCGTCTTTTAACCGTCGCGTCCTCGTTCCGTCGAGGGCTGTGCTGTGTCGGCGCATGCGCAAACAGCCAAAGCCGTCGCATCCAGCTTCGTTCCGCAGTCCGAACTCCGATTTATCGAACATAGCGTATGAAATCAGCACTGAATCAGAGAGACCCTGGACCGCTCTGGACAAAGACCTACATGCAACTTGTTGTGACTGGTCGTGACAGTCACGACTGTCAAGCCATGTGTTTCGAGAATAGAGGACAGCACATTGTTCGAGAATGTTCTGTATACTATACTACGCAGAGCCCGTACAGTATAGCTATAGCGGATAGAGATGATTTGAAGAGCGACGAAGGACGAGCAGGAGCAGCGCGAGAGGAAAGGCGGAGAAAGAAAGAGAGAAGCGATGAGCAGCGCGTGGCCCGAGGTGACAGAAGCACGCGACGCTCCCTCTAGTTCCCCTTCCTGCAGCAGCAAAACTATCGTAGTATCGTAGAGCATCGATGTGTTGCGTGTGCTGCTTGCCGCTCCGCACCGATGAGCCACCCAGCAGCTGCCAGTCACGCCGCGCTGCTCGTTCGGCATCGCGTTTCCTTTCTCACTCTCGTTCCGGCGATCCTTCTTATCAAGCGCTGCCAGTTGAATCGCGCAACCAACCACCGAGTGTCCTCCGATCCCGTGACAGTTCGGGAGCTCTGGAGTTTGGCCGGCAGCGCCGTCGAATCCTTCGAGATTGAAAATGGAGCCACTGTTGCCGGGAGTCTAGTCGAGTGTTCGCGAAGCTGTCGGGCTGCATGACGTATTGGATATCAGGGGACGCGCTGCATCGATTCGCCAGCCGTTTTCTGTAATTCGTGAACAACGTACGATGTAGTTCGGTTGAAATGGTGAAACGGTTTATTGAAAATAACATCGGAAGCCTCGTCGACGCTCAGCGCGACGCGTCCACATACTACGTGTGTACGTGACTGATCGTCATGCGCAACGGCTACAACGACTACGACGACGCTTTCGCGACGAGTGCGCACGTTTAGGTAAGACCATGTGCTTCTTGTGATATTCGGGTGAACCGATGGAGACTTACGAATTAGGGGATGCCTCCTTATTAAATAATTTCCCTCGAGTTGACTTTCCTTGGTTCGCATATAGCGACTCACTTTAACGATTCATCGTTGCCTTTGGATTCCGAAGAAGAAGTGAAATTCGAAATATGCGATGAGAATTGGATGACGATTGCGAATGTGAATAACTGAGTTTGAAATGTCATTTAGTCACTCGAATCATTCGAGTACTCTAACAGGGTTCAATTACGAAATTCGAAAGCTCATTGTTTTCCAATAATGATTTCGAAGTCGTTCTATGGATACCCCGCATACCGCTTGCCCGCGTGTCGGTTACACATTAAAATAAATAAATATGAAAATGGAGCACGTGCGTTAAGAAGCATCTTATATTATAAGATCGATTAGTTTCTCGGCAGCAATAAATAAATAATTGTGCCGTTTTACCTGCAGCTCAGCCGAGGCCCGAAAGTAAAAGCAGTTCTCCAGCAATCTCTTTCTAGGTCAGACCGCCGAAAGCAAAATTTCGAACTCCCCTCGTAGTTCCTTATGCGTTCCTAAAGCCAATTGACCTTATCTTTGTTCTAGATTTTTTAACTCAAGAATTTTAGTCTTCTTGATATTTTGACGTTGTCTTCGGCAGACTATCCACTTTTCATGACACATCAATCTAATCGAGTTCCTCTAAGATTATTTGATCATCGTTTTTTGATCGATGCCATTGGCGGACGGTTAAGGTTTTTTCCACTGATGATCTATAGGATCGATTTATTTGCTTTTTCTCGACACCGACGGGTTGAAACGTAACAGACGTAATAGGACTCTAGGCGTTTCGGTCGCAGTGTAGTTTATTGCTTCCCGAACGGGAACCTCCGAGAGGAAAAGTTACACCGTCACGTTCGACTTTACACACATCGACAAGGTAACTTGGATGCAGAGTAAAAAACGATTGGACAATCTGAAATTCTCCCGGGGTTATTTGGCATTCCTGAAATCCTCTTCGAAATGTTTTGGTAATTCGTTTGGAGCATCGTACGTTCGGAATATTTGTTGCTTCAATATTTGATCGAATACGTGGAGTACGTGCAGATAATGTTCATGGAAAACTCACGAACCTGCAGTCGACTGTGTCTATTTGTAATCGAACTGTCATTATTCGGCCTTGCAAAGTCGTTTCTTTAAAAACAGATTAAATCAACATATTAATTTTTAATTGCGAATTGAAAATATGAGTTCACTGATAAGCGGTATCCAAACACGAGAATCCTGGAAGCTCTTAAAAAGTGGTTTTACGCGAGTGCGCCAGTTTAGTATCGTATTATCTGTTTCGGTTAAAGGACGACTAGGCAGATATTCCGGAACGGACTGAATGGATTCGGTAAAGCCTCGAAATGCCTGCCAGGCCGGAAGTCGAGCCTCCAAGTCGAGCTGCCGGCCTCCGGGTGCGATCTTCCTGGTGCTGCTGCTGTGCTTCCTGGTGGGATTCCTTCCTGCCGGTCGAGCCTCTTACAGCGTCGGCGTTGGAATTGCCGATACCACGGGCCCGGTAGCGGAAGTCGTATTTGTAAGTAGATCTTCCGTAGGACAGCTGGAGCACCTCCTCCACCCTGTCGCCCTTATAATTTCACCTTGATTATGATTGTGCACTTTCCACTCGACTCTAGATGGGATATGCCAAGATGGATCAAAAGGGCACGGGACTCCATCTTCGGACATTTTCAAGGGCCTTCGTGATCGACGATGGCGAAGAGAGATTCGTGTTTGTCAGCGTGGACAGCGCAATGATCGGGCACGGAGTGCGAGCGGCTGTAAGACATACAGATTTTAACACTTTTTCCCCTTTTAGCGTGAAAATTCTTTAATCGTAGCACCTTAGCAGGTCACGATAGATAGAACGATCGTATCGTTTTAATAATTTGAAATGTCCTTGGATCCGATTTATTTGGTACTTTTAGGTTCTTCGGAAGCTGCAGACGCGTTTCGAGAAAATCTACACCGAGAAAAATGTTATGATAAGCGGCACGCACACGCACTCCAGTCCCGGTGGCTTCATGATGGACGTTCTCTTCGATCTCACCACCTTTGGATTCGTGCAGGAGTCCTTCAATGCTCTCGTTAACGGAATTACAAAGGTGCGACCGATCTACTGTATTTCAAAGAAGAGGAAAGAAATTGTAAGCTATACTTATAGAGATGATGATCTTCTTCGACAGAGCATCGAAAGGGCCCATGACGCTGTGCTGCCAGCGAGGATCTTCCTGACGCAGGGTCAAGTCCTGGACGCCAACATCAACAGAAGTCCTTTGGCATACATGAACAACCCAAAGGCTGAAAGAGACAAGTCAGTATGAAGTGGAATGTCGATTTCGTCACCTCAAACGAATAAATTGAGTCCACGAGTCCACAATAAGGGATAACACACGTGTCTTTAAAGGTACGAGCATAACGTGGATAAGACTATCACTCAACTTCAGTTTATCGGCGTGGGTGATCGACCTCTGGGGGCAATTAATTGGTTCGCCGTTCATCCTACCAGCATGAACAACACCAACAGGCTCGTATCGAGCGATAACGTTGGCTACGCGTCTGTGCTCTTCGAAAAAGTCATGAACAAAGATGCCATGATAGGCAAAGTGAGTATAAATATTAGATATTGTTCATCAAGCCTATAATTAGAGCTGTCTTACGGGCAGCCTGCTAATGGGT